AAATGAACCTATCCAGGACTGTTTCGCGGATGGAAACACCTCTGGGAAAAGTGTGTGATTAGGGGTGGGGAATACTTTGAAGGGGATGAATACCAATAAAGTTTAAAAGATTAAATAATGTTCGGTTATTTTCTGAACAGACCTTATGTTTAAAGGTTACCATTGAAAAATAAAATAAAAATGATCACCTCTTTATAGGAAGCATTTTGAGAATGTACTGCTGTCGGATTGGCCAAATTTCTCTCATTATTACCGAAAAAGATTAATATTTAAGTGGATTAATAAAATAAGCATCATCCATTTAGCTCTAGCTACATTCGTCGGAATTTTGACCTGCAGTAACTATAAATGCAAAATATGAATAACAAACGTGTCATACAATGTGTGCTTTAAGATTTCCTATCAGTGTTTAAATATTTTGATAACCTGTTACACAGAAGTGTAAACAAATATTTAGCATGCAAAATTGTAAATGGATTATAATTTATGTTTCATGACCTTCTGATGCTTTTCTGGGAATTGTAGTCATTTTTGAAAATAGTAATGTGGTTTCTGGGAATATAGTTCCACATGCTTTGTTAGAATAGTTAAATTTATGACTATTGCTTTACATATCTTACAATATTATTAATATTTCTCCTACAGTTAATATATTGCTTTAAATATAAGAGTAATGTATGTACGAAAAGTATAGTTATGTTTTATAACCGTTAGACCTCTTTTATGCACGCGTTTTTCTCCTCTCAACGCGGAGTTGACAAAAACGCCGCGTTTCAAGATACCCTGAATAGAGTTACTACGTTTATGCATTTTACGCTCGTTTATTTGCTCTCGCGTTTTCAATTCTGTCGCGATGGCTTTACAGAACGCTTGGCGACACGCGTTCCGAAAAAGCACGAAAGTATATCGGCGTTTTTATGCAAAGCGCTCTTTGTCGCAAGTCCAGTGGCTCTGTCTGTCAAGAATAGTTTTAGCNATATATATATTGTATGGTATATTAAGGGGAAATTAGTAAACTGCATCGAAGACAGATTAAATAACACATTATCACATATTTATAGTATTATAATCGTGATGATTAAAAATGCTGTAGTAATTTATTCATTAATATAAATAGCATATTGCGAAACTTAAGATAATTGTGTCATTCATATATTTAAATAAAAAAACACAGTTTATCTGTTAAATTAATAAGTTCATACGATGCGTGTTCGTAAAAGAACAAATGTACTATAATATTTTATTTATTTAGAGCTTGCTTATAACTTAAACACTAATTAACATTAATAAGAGTAATATAGCAAATAAAATATAGAGAACTTTTGAAAATTTACGACTAATTGGGATTTATCTGATAATGAGGAGAAATTTTGCAATTTCAATTTACTTGATCATTTGGTTCCAAGTTTGCTAACTTGTCTTGTTACGTGCTTATAACAGTTACGTTATTAATAATTTAATTTAAAATTTAGTTTACAATGTTCTAGAATTTCTAGATGAACACATTAAAATGGAAATGTTAAATTTTCAATGTGCAGTCAATGTAACTCGATTTGCAGAATTTACTGATTAGTGGGTTTTTCGTGGGCTCGTCGCCTCTAAATCTGCAAATTATTTACACCGCTGTAAATCCACCGCTGGTCATGGTTACGTCGCGCAGCAGTGAAAGACGGGCGTTTGGGTTCTGTTTAGTTTGTCCGTCCTAAACGAATAATAGCTATTCGCCGCTTTTTTCTTATTAATCGTAATTTGTTTACGTGTGGTGTAAAATTTTGTTACCTACGGTATTGTTTTTTGTTTTTTTTTAAGATTCTAAAATTTTAAATTAGATTGCAAAGACAGGCTACCTTGCTATGCTATTTATTGAAAAATCAATGGTGCCAGAAATACCATGAAGAAGTAATTGAAAAGTTTACTTCGGACAAAAGCAGAAGAATGGACTTTCGCTATAAAAAATAATGTTGAACATACATATTATTTTCCCTATATTTCAATGCATATTACTTAAAATAAAACTACCCAATTATATCTATGTCATTACTTTGTATCTAAATTTTTCCGCCCTACGGAAGTCAAAAACTTTTTTGATTATCTCAGTTAATAAAAAACTAGTTTTTTTTTTTCATTATCAATTATTACTACTTATCATTAGAGCTGTCAGAGAGAGCCGCAATTCAATGGCGTGCCAATCAGGTTAACCGAGACATATGTGAGCCGCTGCCTCAGATTGCTTTTCACGCTCATGTCACGTTAGTATACTGTTGTCTTTGTTATCGTGGGGATGTTGCGTAACTAATTCCTATCTGTTGGTGTTTATGGTGATGTACTGTAGACAATTTAATTTGTTGCTTTTTAATAAATAATGCGTACGCCTGTGTCGCGCGGCTGAATTTTGACAGCCCTACTTATCATAAACTAAATTTATACGTATAAGTTAAAAGTCACCTTTGTTTAACCACAATTTAATGAATAAGAGTACCTATACTACGTCATTTGGAACACTTTTTCTGGGAAACCGTTACTTTGGTGAATTTTTAGAGGAATATTTTTTTATGTCAAAAATGACGCTGAAACAAAATTTTCATAGGTTATTTAGAAAAACAGCCTCTTACAAAAAAATTGTGTATTGAAAATAATTGCTTTCTTCACAAATAGTTGTTATTGACAGTAATTTGTGTACCATAATTTATATCCGTTTATATCCATATATTTAAAGCAATTCTAGAAATATAAAACAAAAACCCATTGCCATTGAAAAATTTATTTTTCACGTTTTTATGTATGTAAGTAGATATATTATTTCTCAAGGTTATATGCGTGTAGGTTAAGAATCACCCTGGAGAAAAGATCATCTAATCTTTCATTCAAATACAAGAAAATTTGTACAAAATATTAATTTACTATGATTTTCATCTATGCTTCGCTGCTAAAAGTGCACCTAACTTTGTTTTTTTGAACTTTTAACAGTGGATAGTGTATTCTAAGAGAAATTCAATAGCTAGAAAAGTTGATTGAGAATAGTCTCTCCAAATCCGTTAAGAGTTTTTTTGACGAAATAGAGTCTATGTATTTTCACCCCACACATCTAAAATGAAAGTTATACTATACATAATCGTGATTCTTGAGTGTTGTGTATATAGATACACAATATGTATGTATATGTAAAGGATCTTAGGACAAAATAATCGTCCTTAGATCCTTAATATACAGAGTTCTCGTAACGAAAAATACCTAAATCTTGGCGTCACCAACATTAATGATTCGTTTACAATGAACAATGACAAACGGTTACGTCTGTGGCTCAAAATAATGCGATCGCTGATTGGTTGAATAGAATCTAGTGAAAAATTTACCAATCACATCCTGTGAAACAATGTTATGTTTTAATGTAATCTTTATGTTATTGTTTTAATAATTTTTAATTTTGCCGAAATTTAATTGCTAACATGTTATAGTTCCAAACAAAATTACTAGTTGCGTGGCTTGTAATAATTTATGAAGGCTCTCTATATACACAACACTGGTGTTAATACTCGATTTCACGTTTTTCAAACGAATTAGTGACAAATTTAATTTCCTTTTCCTCTTACCAAGTCTGTCATCGAAGCTTTATTATCCTTGTTACATTTTCGTATATTTAACAATTTTGTTATGATATAATAATTGTATTATAAACGTTCGTTAAGTCTCTCGGATAATGGATTTTGGGTTGGGCGGACGATAAGATTTATGGCGAAAAGTGATGCTACCATAAAACGTAATAATAACAAATTGCTTTCATAGCTTACTGCAAAGATATATGAGTTTGAACGTTTGAACCTTACATAAAGCAATATGTGGGTTTTCTTTAAGTGTCGCCGCATCGTGTTTACTTTATACAGTGTAAAGTAAAATTAGTTGTCCTCTAATTAATGATCACGTGATGATTCTGTGGAGTGGAAATCTAATTTGACTCCTTGACATTCAAAACCTAAGTCTATTGAAAAGCCAGATGTTTGGCTGATTAGAAATAAAAGAATGTGTAAAAATTACTATATCGAAAAATTAATATCAAGAAAATTATGTATATTGTCCCTGTGGTAATATATGCCCACTACTGCAATAATAATTTTTATTTACATACTTATATTTTGTGGGAAATAGAATATTATTCAAACAATTAATAATAACAAAATATTTCGCTTATTCAAATTTGTCCTTAAACTCAAGTTTTGAAAAGAAAACTCCTTAGAACACTCAGAATAGAATAGAATTCATTTATTTATCTCGGAAATTATATAATGCTGTAGGATAAATCAAGGAAAGTATACCCTCGAGTATACCTGTATAAGAACTAAGATATTTTTTTGAATTTCAAATCTAATGTTTATCAGAACCCCTCAAAAACTCAATATGCCAAATTTAAATAAAAAAATACACAGGATATTTCTCACTACAAGATCTCATAGTTAAACAAAATACCAAATATGTGCCAAGCAATTTCAAAACAATTGAATCTTGTACAGGGTGTTCCTTAACGATATGCGAATATTTAAGGGAGTCTACATTCTACATGGAAAATTAATGATAGTTTGCTTTATAAACAATGGTCAAAAAATGTTCCGTTGCCAAAATACGGGGGGTTTAAAATTTTAAGAAAAAGAAGGAAATTAATATTTTCGAAACCACTTGAGATATTTCAGTGATATTTAGTACGTAGTGATAGTACAGCTAGTTAATAAAGGCGCATGTTTTTAAATACAAACGTAATTTTTAGCTCTAACAGTGGCGTGCGTACTAGCACTCACTTTGATATTTTTAAAGAAAAAAATGGTACGCCAATGGTTTTTTCCCCAAATAAAATTATTTTTGATATCTCCGTTTATTTCGAAAGATAAGAGCAGTCTTGAGTTTTTGCGAAGCGCCGCTTGTCAAAATTTCTGTATTGTTCCCAAACATTGTGCATATTGCGTAGTTTATACCAAAAATATTTAAGTGGTTAATTTTATCTTTTGTTTCAGGAACCTGTGCGATCAATCAGTTTCAGTGTTTAAGTGGTCAGTGCATTCCTATGAGCTGGCATTGCGACTCCCATGCAGACTGTGACGATAGCAGCGATGAACCCTTGGACTGTCAGCAGAACCAGAACTGCCGTGTGGGACAGTTTCAGTGCAAGCTGACAAAGAAGTGCATTCCTACGGGATGGAAATGTGACGAGGAACATGACTGTGGAGTGTCGCCAGATTTGGGCCCCGATACTTCAGATGAAGATCCAAAGATTTGTCCCAAAGGCATCAAATGCGAATGGAACGAGGCCGCCTGCGGTGAAGGTCTGGCTTGCTTGCCCATAAAAAAATTTTGTGATGGGCATTTCGACTGTCCTGGTGAAAGCGATGAATGGGACTTTTGTCGAAATAATACGGGTGGCTGTGATAGGTTGCAGTGCAGTTCTGATTGTAAACCTACTCCTCAAGGACCTCAGTGCTATTGTCCGGATGGGAAGAAGCCTGATGGGAATAAATGTGTTGATGCGGATGAGTGCGAGTTGGATGGAAGCTGTGCTCAGTTGTGTATTAATACAATAGGATCTTTCGAATGCTCCTGCGTCTCTGGATACCATCTAAATGGAACTGATTGTATTGCAGTTAATAGTAAGTTCTTTTATAATTTATGTTTTAAGAAAATTATTTTACTGAATTAGAAATTATCGCCAATTTAATAGAATTTTTTTTTTATTTTAATGAAGCTTTTATTATTTTTTTAGAAAACTGTGATTTCACTCTTTTTGGTATAAACATGTATATAAAAAAATCAAGGAGTGATTCCTTAGATGGCTTCAAAAGTATTTTGTCTTTTCATGATATTTGGAAAGCCGCTTTGTTTTGAAGACAGAGAGCAATACAAATTTTTATACAAAAATGATACTGATACTTTTTTAATTAATAATATAGAATACTAAAAATTACTATGATGTACTGCACTGGGCCTGCTAAAAAAATGCCCAAAAATAAGTTTTTGGCCTTTAACAACATTCCGAATACTAAAAACAACACTTTTTAAGCTCACATCAGTCTAATGCAGATAGTGAAATCACCATTTGAGGATCATATATTGTTACATAATACGTCTTGTGATTTATCTTTCTCTCTAAAAATTATCAAAACCGATTGCATCTTGTATTTTCTATCTTTGATATGTATGTTAGTGAAGTTATCTATCAAGATATGAACACATGACAGACACGGATTTCATAGTATAGACTCGTCAATGGAAATTCGTTACATATTAGACAACTGCGCATTTCCCAATGCTCTTGATCAAAAAACCTTCCAAAATATGTATCAACATCTTCATAAGGAAGAGAGAAAAAAAAATTCAAACAAAATGGAGAACGGTAGAAGTGGAAGAAAAAGTGCATGGTAGAGAAAGGTCCAGGTACTTCTGCTAAAAAAAATGTATTTTATCAAGGGTCTGCAAATATTGGTTTAAATCCCTCAATACTGTTGCTTATTCTTTTTATCGATGAAGTAAATTTCTCAAGTGATGCAATAAGGAATTTTTACAATAACCATGTATGGGCTGAACAAAATCCACAAGGTACTAGAAAATCGTTTACCGGTGAGATGTACCATGGACAGTGTGAAATGTGGTTTATGCATGATTGTACCTCAGCACATTTTAGTTGTGATTGCTTATAAATTTTTAGCAGCAACATATCAAGACCATTGATTGATCAATATAGACATCACTTACGGTTTGTTCAATCCCCAGACTTAAATGCTTTTACAATTATTCATCTAGACGAATCAGTTATTAAGTAATTAAATTAGCTTCGCCAGATTTTAGCCTCCAATTATCACAAGGAAGACTAATCCTTTTTGATGCTACTAGGCTCCTATCATTCTCACATCCCTCGAATGCTCAGGTCTTTTTTCCTGGACGGTTCTCCTTCACTCTCACTCTCTTTCAACACAAACTACACATTTAACAAATACATAGGTATACAGCTGTACAGGGATGGCCAGAAGTAAGGAATAAAATTCATATCTTTTGAATGAGTTAATTTTTTTTAAAACGCCGAAACACGTTAACTGATTTTGATTTTTTCCCATCTTTCGGTTATATAATGATTAATTTTTCTTCAACCCCCTAACCCCCAGCTACCCCTACTTTTTTTTTCAAATGGAAACATAAGGCATGAGGGGGCTCGTTGAAAAGCTTATAGAAAACCGAATCCAGCCATACCAAATAAACAAGTTTTATTTTTTCAATAACAAGTTTTTTTTCATTTAGAAATTGAAACAACTAGATAATTTACAAAAATAAACTCAATGTCGCAAATGCTGAAAATGTCCTCCATTCACTATTTGGCATTCTCCAAGACGATAGTAAAAGCTGTCCACAGCATTCTGAATGACTTCAGCTGGTAAATTATGCATCTCCGCCCTAATCTTGTTCTTTAAATTCTCAATATTATCCGGTCTGTCCTGGTAGACTCTTTCTTTCAAATATCCCCAAAGAAAATAATCCAGGGGTGTTAAGTCGGGGGATCTTGGCGGCCATTCAACTGTACCCCGTCTACCAATCCAGCGATTTGGAAACATTTCATCTAAGTATCTTCGAACATCAATACCAAAATGTGGGGGAGCGCCATCTTGTTGGAACCAAATTCTTTCATTCGGTATATCTGGATCAATTTCATGAGGGAAAATCACAGCTAGAGCAGGTATCAGGTCAAATGTTAGGAAATCCAGGTAGCGTGCGGCAGTAAGATTTTCTTCAAAAAAGAATGGGCCCAAGATTCTGTTGTTGATGATACCTGCCCATACATTAACTTTTTGTGGATGCTGCGTATGCGATTCGCATGTCCAGTGTGGATTTTCCTGGGACCAAAAGCGATAGTTGTGCCTGTTAACCACTCCATTTAAATAAAACGTAGCTTCATCCGAAAAAAGTACGTCTCGTTGAAAACCATTATTGTCGTCACACCGTCTCATCATTTCCTCACAAAATTGTAATCGCCTATCATAATCGTCTTCCAAAAGCTCTTGGACAAGACATACCTTATAGGGGTGGTATTTCTCTTGTTTCAGAAACATTCGAATTGCAGTTCGAGAAGCATCGTGATTGCGGGCCAATGAAACAGTTGAAGTATGAGGATTTTCAACAAGTTCTAATGCAATGTCTAATTTCTTTTCTTCATTCAAAGCACGTGCCCGTCCAGTTTTGGGCAAAGTCTGTACTGTACCGTGTTCCTCAAATTTGTGAAATATTTTACTAACTGTCCCTTGCGAGATTTGGTTTTCGGGATATTTCGCATTAAATAAATCGCGCACTTCAGCCTGACTTCTTATTTTGTCTCCACATCCAAGCAATATCAAGATTTCGATGCGTTGCCTTTCCGACAATACCATTGCAATTCAGTAAATAACTTGATTTTGACACAATAGTAACGTTTCAAACTCCAATTTACAACTAAAGCGAAAAATTAACCAGAAAGCCTGGCAAGTAAGTGGTACCAAAAAAACGCAACATAAAAAATATATATTTTTTGCTTTAGCAGTGATAGGTACAGTTTCAAATTCTTTATGTTATTCTGTGCAAATTCATGGAGGATAACACTGAAGATAATTAAATTTTATTTCACTTGTTAAGTACTTAGGTGTTTTATACAACCCTAAAAACCTTGCTATTGAAAAAATAAATCTTGTTTATTCTGGATTCGGTTTTCTATAAGCTATTCAATGAGCCCTCTAATACCTTATGTTTCCATTTGAAAAAAAAAGTAGGGGTAGCTGGGGGTTAGGGGGTTGAAGAAAAATTAATTATTATATAACCGAAAGATGGGAAAAAATCAAAATCAGTTAACGTGTTTCGGCGTTTTAAAAAAAATTCACTCATTCAAAAGATATGAATTTTATTCCGTACTTCTGGCCATCCCTGTATTCTGTATCTTATAGGTTAAAATTAACCATCCCCTTAAAATATTAATTTTAACCCTACCGCTAAAAATAATAACTCCAACTGGTATTCTGTATGTTTTTTTAACAGCCTAGTTTAAATAATTTTATTAGCCGTATGTTTATTTTTCACTGTTAGTGAAGTTAGTACTAAGGTAAAAGCATATAATATATTTATATTTTTTTATGGGTAAAAGGTAAAAGATGTCGATTTGTGATAATATACCTAATCTCGAACGCTGGTTTAGTACAAATTAATAAAGTAAACAAGTAATAAGATTCTTGTGATTTAGCCGAGTTATGGGGGATAAAAAAAAGGAACAAAAAAAACAGATCCCGTCAATTGTTGACTTTTTAGAACAAATTGCAGCCATTGCAAATAAGTTTGAAATGATTTAATTTGTAGGGACTTTATAACGTTTATAAATAATAGAGATCAATTATACCATGTCAAGCCAGGGTAAATTTTAACAGCATCTATTTTGGTCCCGCTAAATTTGAACATATTTGGTTAAAATAAACCCATTAAAATTTTTACAGAATACAGTATGGGATTAAACAATGGGAGATTAAAATTTTAACTGTGGCCTTGATGTTAAAATTTAACCAAAAGCGTTACAGAATAGATCCGATAGTAAGATATAATCCTGATGTTTTTGAAAGAGTTTAGCAGCCAATGAGGAGAAGATTTGATTCATGCATACTAGATGGTGGCAGTCATTTTCAACAGTTCTTGTAGACTAAGAAACTTTACATGTAATATTTCGGTAATTGGTTTTGTGTAAAAACTTTTATCACCCTGTATCTTCGAAACAAAGTGGCTTTCTGAATATCATCAAAGGACAAAATATTCTTCAGATAACCCAAGGAACCCATGGCACTACAAAGTTTAATATTACTTTTTAATTTTTGTTAACCACATGGATATTGCAATTTTTTTATTACTCTTTAATTTTTGTCCAAGAACCCTTTCTTTTCAAGTAAAAAGCAATTGTTACATACACATTTATCTATATATTTTTTCGCTTAATGTTCTAGCCTGAGTAAGGCAAAATCAAGTGTTTGAGTATAAGTTTATTTTATTTATTATCTCCATTCAGTTTGACGTTTTTATTGAATATTATTTAGGTTTATTTAGGTTTAATACATGGTTGTTTTTACACAATTATTAAACAAAATGTAAAATAAAAAATTTACAAATTCATGTGGTTTTTAAAAAAATAAAGGTCTGTGAAATTTTGGGAATATAGGAGCTTAATTACACCCCTGAATGAAAATTTCTCTGTAAAGGACCTCGCACTTTTCTTATGGGAATTGGGTTTCGGCCAATTTTTTTGAAACTTCACAGGTTGATAGTTCTTAACATGTAGATCAAAAGTCTCAATGGGCACAAAGCCCCAAATCCACCTCTTCCCTCCCAAAAACTGCCTCCAAGTAGCGGGGAGTTTACTTGTCGTTTTATGAAAAAAGTTTCAAATAAAAGTTGTTTATTTCAATGAAATCTAAAAAAAACTATTCTTGTGTTTTTTTTTCGAAAAATCAATGTTTTAGCTTTAAAACGCCACCAAAGTTTAACACAGAGTATACGTATGATAGCTGTAGATATACACATGTGTTAAGTTTAACAGCGTTTTACAGCTTGAATATTACTTTTTCGAAAAAATCACATACAAACTTTTTTTGATTTAGTCAAAATGAATAACTTTTACTTGAAATATTTTTTCATTAAATCGCAAATAAACTTTCTACAGCTATATAAACAATTAAATTATTAATAACAATTTTCCTGACCCGATTATTGAGTTGCAGATTCGAATTCAATGTGAAAAAATATGCGCAAAAAATATACGTGCAAATATACGTGCAAAAAATACGTACAACTATAAAATACAGTAATCTGGAAAATCCGTAGGCTGATTCGTAGGGGGCGGGGGGTGTGTGAGGGGCGGGGTCAAGTGGGACAGCTTGTTAATCAAAAATGTGGTTGTTTGGGGTCATTGTTGGGTTGATTAAAAAAATAAATTGTTTTACATGCAGAAATCAGTTAAATCGCCCCCGCTACCTGGTGGCAGTTTTTGGGGGGGATGGGGTGGATTTGGGGCTTTGTGCCCACTGAGACTTTTGATCTACATGTTAAGAACTATCAACCTGCGAAGTTTCGAAAAAATTGCCAGCCGAAAGCCAGTTCCCATAAGAAAAGTGCGAGGTCCTTTACTAAAAATAAGCTTTTATTTACCTAGAACTGTCTTCCCCAACAGAAAAGATCCAAACCTCAAGAAAAACAAATCAATATGCTACTGATAAGAAAAAAATATTATGTAGATTTATGAAACTGAATGTTATAATAGGTTGATAAATTTAATATGAATACTACATAGGAAAACGACCGTTACATTTCTCCCAAAAATGAAATAGTATTGTCATCTCGATTGTCATCTTGTAGCTAAAAGTCTGTAAAACATAGTTCACATCCGGATCAGGCAAAAATAGATTTAATCACAAAGATATCACAATTTTGAATTTGTCGCATAACAGAAAAATTTTTCATGAAAATTGTTAATGAGAACCAAAAATGTTCACATAAAAAATTGCTTAACACATGAACCACAGCATTATTTCATTAGTTCAAAGCTAAAGGAGAATAAGTCTTATTATTGCAAATCAAAACTTTATAAAGTAAATAATTATAGATGAATTATTGTTACATACCTACTGTGTGTACTTACACTTCAAAAATTTCAGTTTTCATTTACTGTTTTTCTATTTTACAGACATTCTTCTTAAACATTACCTATTATTATCAATTTCAAAAATATATTATAACTTAGTTTTTTTAAATAAAAGTAAAAAATCTGTGTTTTTTAAACAACAGTTATTTAATTCTCAGACTACAACTTTGAAACATGTTTTTCTCTTTTCAATCAAAATGAATATATCTAATTTTTTTCTTGTTGTCCTTATATTTAAACGTAGAAACTGTTTGTGTATTTATGTTAATCGTTCCATGATTCTTTGATAGAATTTTTTTTTCAATTCTAGCTATATAAGTATCTTTATTGTTACATTTTTCAGTTCCAGCTTCTGAACCCCCATCTCTGATATTCTCCACACAGTCAGAAATAAGGAGAGTTAGCTTAGATGGGAAAGCATTTCCTGGAAATTCAACATTACACCTTCTAAATAGCAACGCTCTGGAATTCATACATCGAAACCATACTATTTGTTATGTTCACCATAATGTATCGAAAGCCACACTTGTCTGTGCAAACATCAATGATTTAAATCAACGATGGAATTTGCAGCCAATTTCACCTCTTTTAGAAATTGACTCTATTCATCAAATTGCTCTTGATTGGATTACAGATAATTGGTATTTTCTAGATGACCAAAGGGAAATAATTTTGGTTTGTACTTACCACTTAAAATGGTGCAATATTTTGATAGAATTTGGTTTGAGCAAACCTAGATCACTAGCTTTGGATCCAACGAGTGGATATTTATTTTTTACAAAATGGGGACATTCTCATCCCTTGCTCGTACGATGCAAAATGGATGGAACTGAACGGACACCCATAGTAGACCACACTATAGTGTATCCGTATGGCGTTACTGTTGATTATCCGAAGCAGCATGTTTACTGGGTCGATACATATTTAGATTATGTCGAACGTGTGGATTACAATGGGAAAAACAGGAAAACTGTTTTGAGAGGTGTTCAAGTTAGAAATTTGTATGGAATAACTGTCTTTCAGAATAAACTATATGTATCATCTTGGTTTGATCACGTAATATTGGAGTTGGATAAATATAACCACAAGGCAAAAACCATTGTCACAAATATAAGCAGACCTTTTAATTTACACGTGTTTCATAGGCAGAGACAACCTGACGGTAAGTAATTTTATAGGAAACTCATATATGTGGCGTTTGCTTAAGTTTTTGTCATAACTTTAGGAGGCTGTTTTCTGAATTATTTTAGACTGCGAAGCAGTAAGTAATGAACTGAAGATCAAAAGCCATTAGTTTTCAAAATTCAAGATCTTGAACTTTAACAAAATTCATACTTATTTATTCAAATATCTATAAAATATTTGACATAGACTGATGAAATTAATTATGAATGCTGAATTAATTAATTAAATCTGAATTGACACTACTGACTTTTGAAAATTGGAATAATATATTTGCCAACACAGGTGAGTGTGAGTGTGTCAGGTATAATACAGCTAAATCTAACATAAAAAAACGAATCAATACTCAAAATTTAACAATCTTTCAGATGGACTGTTTTTCCACGTTCCAGGGAACAACAAATTTTTTAGTATCACCACGCCGTCTATACAGAAAGATTTGAACTAACAGTTCTAACTACAATTTGAAGCTATTCGAGGGACCCCAATTTCCTTAACTAAAATAAATTTCTGCATTTTGGAGATATTGGCAGCGGGAGTGTTAAATGGCACACCCTGTATATGTATTATATTATTTTGCATTATATGTGACAAAAATGTCATTTTTGAGGTCCAAACTGTTTTGCAAAACAATTCTATAGCAATTTTTTGTTCCAAATACAATTTTAAATACAAAATAATTGCTGAAAGTTAAATAAAATCATTGGTGTAGAAATTTTATTTTAGGGGATCATGCATCTCCACCATTTCTGAAATATTTCTGTATTTCTGCAAAAATATGGTGATTTTATGGCTCTCAATATGGGCTAACCATATTGATATTAGAGTGTGATGGTTTTTCCGAATGTAATACTGTGGCTTCTGTATCTGATCGCCCCTGTTGCAGAATTACTTTTCACTTCTTTACCCTTAGCTAGGAATATTTGACACGCCGTTGTTGTTTTCGAGCTAGGCTCTGTGGGAGCGGACCCGCTATTGGGACACCCAAGGCAGCCCTGATATTCATTTTGGTGCTTGATGTTTCTAAAACCGCTACTGACAGAATCACTCTTGAGATAATGGTGATCATTTGAGACAAACTGTAGCGGCACCTGTAACTTGGTGTATCCAATACTTCCAAGTCTATCATTGTACCAGTATCTTCAGTGGTCTCTGAAAATACTTTACCACGACTAAGTAGCCCAAGTAGCATCATAGTCTGAGGAGCGCTTTGGAATTAACAAGAACTGAAATAAACTTTACGGCAAGTCTAGATTTAATAGCGGGTCCGCCAAATAGAGCCTAGTTCGAAGAACAAGGGCAGGTTGAAGATTCCTAGCTAAGGCTAAGGAAGAGAAAGGTAAGACAACACCATAACAATCCGAAAAACCATTGTACTTTAAATTTCAATAATACGTGTCAACATCTTTAGAAACATTTGAGTATGTAAATGTGATAGTTTTTAAACTTCAACATCCTGTATCTTACAAATCATGACTTTAGACTCTTGGTTCACAATGGTTTCTGGTGATGGGGGAGATGGAAAATGATCCAAGGAACAATTTCTTGAAGTTGACATGAACTTATAAAACGCCCTGTATAAATTTAAAAAATAAGAAATAATTGTAAAAAGTTTGTATCTGTCTAACTCTAATAATATCTGAAAATATTTATATATTTGTGCTTAAGACAGACTTGTTAATAACTTTTACAATTATTTAAGTGAAACTGTTTTTCTCCGTCTAAAGTAGTTTGCTGTTAGATTAAAGTAATGCTACTTTGTATGTTTAATTAGAAAAGTGGGAAAAATAACAAAAAATGTTACTGTTGTTGTTTCAGTTGCTCATCCTTGTAAGTCATCTAAAGAGTGTGATCATCTATGTATACCTGTATGGAATAAGAACATAGCAATTCAAACATGTATATGTGCTTCTGGTTATGTACTTGTAGCTAATAAATGTGAAATAAGAACACCCTCTAGTTTCTTACTAGTAGCCAAAAGCAATCCATTTTCAATCAAAGGGATAGACTTAAAAACTGGTAGCGACACAATTGTTCCTATAACTAAAATAGGAAAGCCTACTGTGATAGAATTCGATGCAAAAGCTGGATCAATTTTCTATTCCAATGGACTAAGTAATTCGATTGAAATGGTATCAGTCAATGACACTTCTAAGCCTACCATTCTAGTGAAAAATGTAGATTGTTATGGACTAGCATTTGATTGGATCTCGAGAAATTTGTACTGGTCTAATTCCGAAAAGGGATCTATAAGTGTCATAAAATTATCGAATACGTCGATATCGAGGACATTATTTCAAAGTCTTTCTTTCCATCCTACATCGATTGTAGTAGATCCTTTTAGAGGGAAAATGTATTGGGCTCATTGGGAGAGTAGATCTCCAGAAACAGGAAAAATTTACTCCACTGAAATGGATGGATCACACATTATGACATTTGTAAATACTGATATCCATTTGCCAAGCGGTTTAGCTATTGATTATGAAGAAAAAAGGCTGTATTGGTCAGACAACTATCTGAAGAAGATACTGAGTGTTGATTTTACAGGGGGTAATAGGCGAACTGAAATTGAACACAGTCTCTTTTCGTCTTTTGGCCTTGCATTGGGTCCACAAAAAAGTATTTACTTTATAGAAATGTCTGAGGGTACTGTCGTTGTATATAATAATAAAACTGGACCAAAGAAAGTTTATGAAGGAAGTTTACCTATATATGACATAAAATTGTTTGATGCAGAATCACAAAAAGGTATAGTAGTACAGAATTTTTAAAAAACCAGTCAGTTCTGAATTAATTCAATCTGCTTTGATTCATTGATCCATTGCCACCTAGGTTACCAAGGTCTCACATCTGATCCTTCCTCACTATAATTTCTAAAGACATTCTTTGCAAAAACTCTATTTGTCACTATATATAAAACATTCAAAAAAAGATAAATACTTAATAAGTTTGGTGATTTAATCGTTGAAGTTTTACATCTGAAGCATATTTTGCACCTAAAGTTATTCTATAGTGTTTTTGCAGGAAATGTTATTTTTCATATTTAGTGGACGTCATTTAAAATACATTTTTCAAGATTTTTTTGAGGCGCTTTAATTACGTTTTTGATACATTTCAGCCATCATGAGGGATTTTTTAAATGCGATCCTTTAAAAAAATAAGTAAAATTATATTTTTTAAGATCAAAGAAACTTGATTTTGGAACATTTTCTATATAATCATGTAAGAATTTTAAGTATAGGTACGCTGCGCAATACGTCTGAACGTAGCTACCGCGCCGTGCACGAAAGTTTATCGCGTGCGAATATATACGTCTGGAGCAGTTAAACCACTTATAGTTTTTACATTATGTTGTGTTAAATTACGATTTACGATAAATTTTACGATTTTATTTTGAATAAAACACAGTATATGTACTAAATAGAAACTGAAAGAAATATGAACAATCTTGGTATTATTATCAGTACCTCTTTCCATAAAAATATTTGTCACAATCGGTATAAGCTCGCCCGCAAAAATTCGCTTACCAATTGTAATAACCGAGTAACTAATGTGCATGGTTGCGAATATATACGGTTTGAGCAGCCTGATCCAACTTAACTATTCATGCGAATTAATCTGTCTGGAGCAGTTTGAGTCCTATAAATTTTTAGCGAATATATATGTTTGGAGCAGTGAAAGGGTTAATGTGTCACTTTTTCATCGTATTTTAAGTTTTGTGAAAAATTTACTAGTTTACGCACAGCAAGTGGTAGGGAAAAGTATATTTTGGATAGTAGCCGTGGAAAAACGCTATAAACTCAAATGTTAGAGATTGGAATTTTATTGGAAATATTTCACATACGGTTTATAGCAGTGGCGGCTCGTAACATTGAGAATAGGTGAAGCATATTCATTGATTGACTAAAGAGAAAAAAAATTGCCGCAGGCGAAAATTTGCAAATTTTCAAGGTCAAACGGCTTTAAATGAATCTGGAAATTTTTAGTTGTATTTGCAATATTATCGAAAAACTGACGTTCGTGAAAAGGATTTTCATTTAGATTTTATAAAAAATAGAAATATTGGTTCAGCTTGTGGACTTTTGCGAACATTAACGCATACGTTACATGTATGTTCCAAAGAAGATTTGTAGTTACGACAGCCTTGTGACATTCCCAGAATTGTTAAATCCCTTCTTATTCCATAAGCCCGACTTTACCACAATTAAACACCCACAATTAAACACGGCATATAGAAATGTTTTTTAAATGAACACTTATGCTCCGAATACCATTCATTCCGAAACTTTCGAACGTACACGTTGTCTTTTGACTTCTCCTTTTTTTCATATCGTGAGAATGAGGCACAGGTCTCTTGCAATTTAAAAAATCCTTTTTGTCCTCATTTTCCATCTGGAAAATGGGATTTCCAAAAAAATACATACTGGATCATAACATAGGAAACATTTCTACAATTATTATGCAAAACAAATATTAACTAAGAACCATTATAATTGTGCACTGGGCGACGCGTGTTATATAAACTGTTAAGGGCAGGCGATGGGCGATGCTGCTGCAATTTCTGCATCACTCGTTCCCCCACGTCATAGTTTAATCCCGAGTTGGCCACCGTAAACAACGCTACAAAGAGAAGCAGAATACAGACTGATTTCAATCTGCGTCACTTGCATATACTATACGTTGTATGGTATGTACGAGACTGATATTTGCGCTTAACGAAGACAATGTTTTTTTAGAAGGCGTTCACTGCGCAACTATTTATTTCTGCATATAAAACAAACAAACACAATACATTTTCAATATAGAATTATACCTAAATTATACATTTATATAAAATTAAAAATAATTTTAAATGGCACAACCAAACGGAAAGGACCCAGCACGTTTCTTATGGGAAGTGGCCCTTGGTGAAATTTTCTGAAATTGATATATGTTATTCTATTCGAGCTCCTGATCAAGTCTCCATGGGCACAAAGTGTAATATTGGACAGATTTCGAGATATAGGGGGTAGAAAGTGAAGTTCGGCATAACCTCCAATGTAGAAATCGTCGGCCCTAGAATGACTTCTGGCTTTATGTTTGTGACGGACAGGGGGTTTTCGTGATTTAATAATTCTAACCTAATGTCGGAAATGACAATTGTCACTTCATGAGTGACACCCGACCTTTTAAATGCATCAAAATCACTTAAAAAATACTGGTAGTACACACGTTCCAGTAGTAAGGTTGGATAGTCCTTTGGCAAACAGCAAAAATGACCAAAAACGGCCAATGAAAGCAATGGGACCACATTTGGACTCTCAAGACCATTTTTTTCGGGTACAGCGACCCAAAATACCCCGCATATCATCATAAAAGTCAATGGACCTTTACATGGTCAACGAACTGCCTGCAGCCAAAGGACTATCCAACCTAACTACTGGAACGCGCGTACTACCAGTATTTTTTAAGTGATTTTGATGCATTTAAAAGGTCGGGTGTCACTCATGAAGTGACAATTGTCATTTCCGACATTAGGCTAGAATTATTAAATCACGAAAACCCCCTGTCCGTCACAATCATAAAGCCAGAAGTCATTCTAGGGCCGACGATTTCTACATTGGAGGTTATGCCGAACTTCACTTTCTACCCCCTATATCTCGAAATCTGTCCATTATTACACTTTGTGCCCATGGAGACTTTTGATCAGGAGCTCGAATAGAATAACATATATCAATTTCAGAAAATTTCACCAAGGGCCACTTCCCATAAGAAACGTGTGGGGTCCTTTTAGGTGAAGCAGTGCATCACTTTTGTTGCCTGACGAGCCGCCACTAGTATATAGTCAATAGTGCCATATATTTTTTTGTAAATAACACTTCAGTTGTAAATGACTGAGGTCAATACTAACTTAGTTAGTAATTTCAGTAAGATTAATTGTGTTGTAAAACACGACTTTGAGTGTTTTCATTTAAAATTTCTGTATATGAGACATACGATATATCATGAAATTTTAGCAACTTAAATCAGGTTGTAAATTTGAGTTTAGGCATAAGGCAGAGAAGTTAATTTTGAGTCCAACTGGTGCATTTTTAATGCATTTCTACTTGCTGTGTACTTCTGTGCAAAGATATCAATAAAAAATCATTAAAGTTTGTCTCTGGTTTCCCAAGAGATGAAGTTACATTGCAGTTACGGTGCTCGCTAATGCCACACACTAACATTATTTCATTAAAATATTGAGATTCTTTATTTACATTATTTTAAGAACTATATGCAATATACATACAAAAAATTTTCAGTATAATTTCTCTAAAACCATAGGGACGTGTAATGTATCATTAAATTATTTATATACCTATTGTGGCAAACGAAATAATAGATTAGGTAAAAGAGAAACTTATTTTGATTAGAAATTATTTTTCTTTTAACTAAATTCACTTAAATTTTCCACAATTTTACTTTTTTGTATTATTAGGCATAAGGCTTATTTATAGTTATAGATTGGCAACTTCGTTTAAACAGGAAACGTTTACAATTTTTTTTAATTTGATTTGGCAACACTAACTAAATGTACAATTTTATTTGCTCATAACACATAAATTTGCAATGCATACTTTAGCTTCATGATGATAAAATTTTGAAATTTATCTTAAATCACTGACTTTTTTATACAGAAATCCATATTCGTTACATTTATTACGTTACATATCTGTCCCCTCTGAAGTGACATCATGCATGGAGTGCTTAGGCCTTGGTAATCTACGTGATAATGGTACCAGAGCAACATAGCATCTTTCTGTGGATATTGCATATGTACAAAAAAAATAGCTTTGTATTGCTACTAGTCGATCTTCATTGCTGCAATAAAATTGTTACATAAAGTTGCGCTGCGTTGTTTGTTTCCATCAACTTCAAAGAAAATATAGCAATTACACTTAACAAGTTTGTTGCTATGACTTTGTTGCTCTGGTGGAAGCAGTCATACCTTTATTACCGGGAGAGAATTTATATGATGGAGATTAAACACAGCTCTCATTCTCTCATTATTATTAGTAAATGATAATATATTTTAAATGCAATAATTCCTCAATAAAAATACAAAATTTCACTGCTATTGAATATCCGAAAATTGGAAAATACAAAAATATAGAAACAGACAAAAATCTTGCAAGTTCAACTCGACTTTCGCCAACATTTCAACTATTTTGTTGGTTTTTTTTGGTTACACTGTGTTACATAAATTTTCATTTGCTTTAATGAAAACGAAATGTTGATAACTGTACATTACCAGAATAAAGAGCATCTTATGGAAAGCAGCATTCACAAAAGGTTGACTTATGTTGCTTTGGTGGATCCAAGGTTCTAGTTTTCAGTAAGAAGACTTCATTTATTTAATAATTCGTTGCATTAAATTTTGTTCCAGGGGATAATAACTGCTCTCGTATGTCATGCTCCGAATTTTGTTTTCCTAGAGCAAATGGAGCAGTGTGCTCGTGCTCCGACGGTTATCGCATTGAAAACAATACTTGTGTCAAACAAGCAAACTATACCTCCCACATTGCATTCTGTCTACCAGAAGCTTTTCAGTGTCGATACAATATGCGCTGCATACCCAATGCCTATTTATGTGATGGTGTTGATAATTGTGAAGATGGCTCAGACGAATCCTCTGAACCTGGTGGACCCTGTGAGCATGTGTCATGTGGAGAGAATCAGTTGAAGTGCGATAAAACTACTTGTATCGCTAAACACTGGGTGTGTGATGGGGAAAAGGATTGTTTAGACGGAACAGATGAAGATCCTACTATGTGTTCCAAAGTCTGTACTGCAACACAGTTCAAATGTAAAAAGTCTGGGAGATGTATACCGATAGTATGGCGATGTGACAATGTTAGTGATTGTGGGCCTGATGATGACAGCGATGAGAAAGATTGTAGTGAGTACATTATTTGTATTTTATATACAAGAATAAAAATAAAAAAATTACAATTCTTCTAATAAATGAAATTTATAGAAATTTCATCGTGTGACGTAAATGAATTCACATGCAAAAATGGTCAATGCATAACTGTTGGATTCTATTGTGATTCAATCAAAGACTGTGATGATGGATCGGATGAACTGAACTGTCTGTCATGTCCAACGCCTGGTGAAATTCCATGCAAGCCACTTAATAAATGCCTCCCAATGCCTGCAGTTTGTGATGGTTCCATGGATTGCCCTGACGGATCAGATGAAAATGACTGTGGCACTAAAGTTAATTGTGAACCTGATGAGTTTACCTGTAGCAATTATGAATGTATACCAAAGGTAAGTTATTTATGAGGATATTTATTAATATTTTATTTTACAGATACATTACATTATTTTTTTAGCACTAGGTATATCTTATGTTTCAAAAATGATTTATTATTTTCATTAATAATATTAATAGTAATAAAATTATCATCAGTCCATTGGTGGTCTTCAACTAACTTTGACCTAAAAGTGCTTGCAACTCTCGGAATTTTTTTGATATTGCTTCTGTATTATATTTTGAGTAATTTAAACTAAAAAGAAAAATATCTCTACAGGCTTTGAAAAATAAACTCAAATTTTCAAAAAGAAAAAAACAAATGAGGTCATCATTTCTCGGGGAAAAGGTGTATATGTAATTTTTTTCCTATTTACCATATTTATTTGAGTATTTAACTTAACGTTCTGTAGTTGCAGATTTTTAAAATATTTAAATCCTTAATCAAATTTAAAAAAAATATCCAAAAAATAAGCTTTTTGGCCATTTTTGGGGCTACTCAAAATTACTGCATGACAGGTATAACTGCTGTGATCACCTTTAAAAATTCATGCTTTTAGCTACAAAACAATCATAAATACATTGTTCTAGCAATAATAATTTATAAGAAGGGTAAAAAAATGAGAAGAATAGCTGCATTCAAAAAACCACATTGAAAATTCTATGAGCAATAATTGTGTTCAGAAAAGAGGTGGAGTAAAATAAATCTTAAATTTTCATGAAGTAAAAACAACCCAATACAAAACACAGAGAAGCTGAATGTTTACCACTCGCAATCAATCTACATATTTTGACTTATCTGCATAAATAATTACAAAACAAAAATCAAGTTTGCTTAGATTTTCAATTCTATACTTTGTACAGTCAAATGATTATATTATATTTAATTTTTCATGTGTTATTGATACATAGCACATAAAATGTACATGTATTGTACTTAGTTGTGTTGTCGGAATAGGAATGTTGACACATGTTGAAGTTTAATTATTTCAAAAATAATTCCACAAGCTACCACCATAAACTTTATAAACACCCTGTATATTTGTCATTTTCTTATTCCTCTTTTTTTATTACATATACTTATACATGTCATCTATTTGAGTTTGAGTATAGTTTTTAGAATATACCAAAATATTGTCCAAACTGTTAAAGCAAATATAAATAATACGTGTAGGTATACCACTGTAATGAGAATGGGGAGAGGATTCCAATACAGAACAAATAAACCAGGATTTTCATTTAAGAAAATAAATTTTTGGTTTATATGTATATTCATTCGATTTTAAAATTGATGTGACCTGATTTAAAAAAAAAGTTAATATAAACATGGATTCTATAACATCTTATTTTTAAGATACGTGTCTTTTTCAATTTTTTTTTTCTTAATAACAAAAGAGTATAATGTTCCATTTTAGCATATTATCAGTTCAAAGTTCCAACTTCTAAATTTCCAACTTCTTCATCATCCTAAGTGTGACAGCCCTATGTGAGCCCCGACTTCCTCCAATCTCTTCTGCCATTGTCCTTGATTTTGTGAGTCTTTTACTACAACTCTATCCTCATATTTTTCGTATATTTCAAAGTTGTAACATTGGCGCCGCACCCCATTGTCACACACTACACCGAATATTCTTTGCAGTACTTTTTTTTTCAAAGGTTAGAAGTAGGATTTTGTCAGCTTTGCTCAGGGTCCATGTTTCAGATCCATAAGTCAGTACTGGCAGTATTAGTGTTTTGTAGAGCATCAGCTTTGTTTTCAGCGATAGCGCTCGGCTTGTGAAGTGTCTACTACTAAGCCCAAAATAGCATTTGTTGGCAATTAATATTCTGCGTTTTATTTGCTTGGATATTTTTTTCTATGGTGGTCAAGGATCCTAGGTAAGTGAAGGTTTGCACTACTTCTAAGTTGTAGTCATTTATAGTTAGGTTTTGGCCGATGTTTCTGGCTCTGTTACCTGGTGTCAATATCATAATTTTAGTCTTCTCGTTAATCCTTAGTCCCATACTTTCTGCTGAGCTAACCAATGTCCCAAAGATCTCTTTAGCTCCCCTCAATGTCCGTGAGATCAGATCCACGTCATCTGCGTATGCCATTACCAGCAAGATCTTATTAAATAATTGTTCCTCGGTTGTTCTCTTCTGTGACTATTTTTTCTAATGCCAGATTGAAGAGGAGACATGCCAGCGTATCCCCTTGTCTGAGCTTCTTATTGCTGGTGAACGGCTCTGATGTCTTATTTTGCACTTTTACTTTGTATGTTACTTGGCACATTGTTATTTGTACTAGTTTTATTAGCTTCACAGGTATACCTAGTTCCCTTATGGCCTCATATAGTTTGGGTCTAATGATGTTGTCGTAGGCCGCTTTAAAGTCAATAAAGATATGGTATGTGTCGATGATGAACTCGTGTGTTTTTTCCAGTATCAGTACAAAAATCTGGTAGATGGTAAATCTGTTAGGCTGGAAACCACTCTGATATTCTCCCAATATAGCTTCAGCATAAGGGCTCACCTTCTGTCTTCTGTATATAATATAGGAGAATATTTTATGTGTTGTGTTGAGCAGGGTAACTCCCCTGTAGTTTGTGCACTCGAGTTGATCGTCTTTCTTGTGTAAGGGACAGATAAGGCCAAGATTCCATTCATATGGCATCTCCTTATTTTCCCAGACCATCTTAATGATTTTCCAGATAAAAGTAATGAAGTTTTCCCCACCATGTTTGTAGAGTTCTGCTGGTATACCTGGCGATTTATTATTTTTGAGACAGTTGATGGCTTCTTTTATTTCATTTAGGATTGCTGGGGGGGATGTCGTCTTCTGTGTATGCCGTGGAAGGGGTCTCAGTTTTTCTAGGTTTTCTTCATTCAGCAGTTCTCTGAAGTGTCCAAGCCAACACATTATAGTATTTTTTCCTCACTATTGACTATGTTTCCTTGCTTATCTCTACATGTGTTAATTCTTGGTTTAAACTCTTTCCTCATATCGTTAACTTTCTGATAAAATTTTCTTGTTTCGGTCTAGTTTCTATGTGCCACTAGTTCTTCTAGGACGTTTTGCTCTTTTTGCCTTTTCTTCCTTTTGTGAAAATGTACGGTGGATTTGATGCACTAAAGAATTGAATAATAAAGGTGTCTGATTAATGAACTGTAATTTTTGTTATTGTTATACACCATACTTATTCGTAGATTTTTCTGTGTCGAAATCAATAATTTCCAATTTACACAAGAACTGTTAACTTTGGTACAGGGAACTATAGTATCATTTTAAAGTGAACTTAATGAGGAAGTTGCATCAAATTTTCTTTTGAAGCAAAAATTTAAAGTGCAGAAAATTACTATAAAAGTATGTTTCTATATGTAAAACCCTTTAAACTTAACTATTAATATGTAATTAATTATTAAAATATTAAATATAATTAGGTGGGCGAAAACGTTCCCTAATTGGTCAAGCAATTTGTGACGTCAGGATCCGGTATATGAGTGTTAAGACTGTCAAGATGCGGGAGGCTGGCGCTGTCATTGCATTGCTGTCATTTAATCTTGTGTTGAATTAGTTTGTGTTCGCATTGAATTCTGAGTAGTTTTGAGTAGTTAGTTTTAGTGTATAAATTTAAAGACAAGTTTTGTTAATTTTCACAGAGTCTACGAACATTTTCACAATATCTACCCAGGCAGCTTTAATGCGTGGCGGTTTCAGGATCAGAATTACAACACGAGAACGTGAAAAACATAACAGTGTCTGAACAAAAGTATTATAGTACCCATGTGTAGTTCCACAACACTAACTGCCCCCAACAAACTATTTAATGTACCAAAGGATGAGAAAATGATGAAGAAATCATGCAAACATATTTTATAGAACATCTATTTTTGACAAATTATCACATTGCTCTTGGACAAATCCAGCTTCTGTAGCCATAGAATGTACAATTTTAAAAATAATTAACAATATTGTGTTAAGTAAAAGTAAATAATATAAAATCTTTCCGGCACACGTAGTTTGAGTAAGAGTGAGACAGACTACAGAACACGACTCGTTTAATTTGGACCGATACCGGATCGTGACATAAGAGTCAGCCGTCTTTATTTAAGACTGCGTTTTAGTGCATAGATTTTGAATTAATATATTTTTTTATAGGAAAACTATTAATTAAAAATTTAAAATTTATGTGACAATTGACTTTTTACGATGAAAGGAATTTAATAAGAAATGAAAAAAAATGTGAAACATCCCCATTCTGTCTCCATTAATGTAATAATATACAGGTTGTACCATTTGAAAATTTTGAGTAAATTCAACTTCAACGTCACAATATTGGCCACAAGTTTTTAAACATTCTGTATGAATTTTTGCAAATTTGACATAAACTGATTGAATTCCATTGATCTTAAATTATCCATGCCAAATTTCATTAATAAATAAAGCAAAATGTCTGAGTTATTCTATTTTTAAAAATAACTTAAATCCCTCAATTTTTTTTCGAAAATTAATAATAACTTGAAAACTGTCCATAGTACCTTATATGAAAATAATCTAGAATTTGCTGTAAAATTTAAAAATGCATAGATATACATAGTGTTCCGTTTGAAATAATAGAGATAATGATGACTTCAAGTATAACCGGAAGTGCGAGGAAGTTGACACTATTTTCATTGAATAGATCTCTTTGATAAACCACTGTATACAAATTTTCAAATTTCAATTCTGACTACTTTTTGAGATAATCCTACAGGATCCTCTTCATAATACACCCTGAATATCAAGTACTATTAACTATATATATTTTTTTTTTTGAAGAGATAATTTTATATTAAATAACAAATAAAATATAGAAATGGCAGTAGCCTGGGGTGAGCCAGAACAATTAAAAACAAACAAAACTTTAATCTAAAAATTTCATAAAATTTACCCATACCTATTAGAATTTAAAAGTTTCTTGTTTAATCTCTATTTAAAAGTTGGAATTTTGAGATTTTACTCAAGAAATCAGTATCAAATCTGCTAAAATAAAACATATATAAAAATGGAAAAAAAATTAATTAGAATACTCTGTTCTGTATCTCAAAAATGAATATATGTTTATATGAACTTTTGTTATTAGGATGAGGTCTTATGATTTTTAAATTGTGTTTAATAACTTTTGAATAATTTGTTGAGAAGAAAATTTACCATGAAGGAAGTATGTTTTGTCATAAGCAGCAGTTTCTCGTATGCAGGTATTAGTAAACAGTTATGAAAACTATTAATAATATCTTACGTATGTTCGTATATTTTAAAGAATTATTTATAAACAGTTTATATGTATTGTATTATCAATCAACAATTTTAGTTTGTTGTAATAAAAAATAAAAAAAAATATTATCATTACATTACTATTATTATTATTATTATTATTTGAGGTGTTCCATTGCGATGCTGACTTAGACTGTGTGGATGGCTCAGATGAAATGAAATGTGACCCGATCAAAATTAAAAATGCCACAGAATTAAACATACCTATCTTAAATTGCAATTCGCCTTTCAAGTTATGTGACAACAATACGAAGTGCATTACCCCATCTCAGCTATGCGACAACAGACAAGATTGTGATGACGGAACGGACGAAGGAGGCCAGAAATGTGGAGATTTGATTTTCAATTCTACTAGAGCAAAATTTCCCATTGTGTCTGCGACCTGTGAATACCCCAGTAGATTGTGTGATAACAACACAAAATGTATCTCTGTAGGCCAATTGTGTGACGAACAACCTGACTGTGAAGATCAATCTGACGAGGGCATGAGGTGCGGTGACATGTTATGCGAGCACAGCTTTGCATGTTCTCATGACTGCCACAATGCCCCTGAAGGACTCATATGTTCCTGCCCACCTCATCTGCACTTACAGGCAGACCGGGCCCATTGTTTAGAAACACACCCTTGTGAGGCATGGGGAGTTTGCTCGCAGATATGTATTCCTCGTGGTTCACGGTACAAATGCACTTGTATTGATGGGTACGTGATGCAAGAAGATGGTTTTACATGTAAAAGTGTTGATAGTGGAAGGCCTTATGTGATATTTAGCAACAGGCATGAATTGAGGGGAGTTGACTTGCATACTTTTAGTATAAAGTCTTTTATATCTAACCTGAAAAATACCATTGCCCTTGATTTTCACCACACTAATGAGACTGATATGGTAAGTGTTAGGAATTCCTTTTTTAATATGTATGTATGTATGTATTACTTAAATTATCGATTTCCAATTGCCATTTTTTTTTCATTAAATAAAAACATTTATAATTTGAAATCTGGAAGTTATTAGAATGTATGGTGTCCAAAAATATTTATTTTTAGTTTTTTTTAATAGTATATTGTGCAATAAGTGCGGTAAGTTGTCTATTGCCCACGAGAGCGGAGTTGAGCGCACGAACAAAGTGAGTGCGCTCATCCGCTTAAGTGGGCAATAGACAACCGCATAAATTGCACATACTATTTTTTACTATGAATGCAATGAAATCTTAGAGTCCAGGGGAGAAGCCCCGGTGAGCTCCACATATTTTTATTCAGTTTAAGTTGACATAAGTAACTGTCATTTAAATGTCACTTTTTAAAAATAATATTTTAGGTGTGTAGGTATTTCAATTTTGTGTTTTATTGGCAATTCGCTTGTGACAAGTAAGATTACCGCACGCAAATAAATAGAGTGGGCAAACAGCTAGTTACCGACCTAAACAACATGCGAAAAGATAGGACTTATCTGCCATGAGTAATAAAAATAGTAATAAACCGTTTCAGGTATCTAGTCATTTTTCACTAATTTGTTAACTGTAAAATAAAGGTCGAATGCGGAAGTATCAGTTTTCGAAAATTGCGCATTGTTATTCCAAAAAGCGATGGATGTTATTGAATTTTATGGAAAAAACAAAGAGGCGTAGGTGATTTCTTTTTTTTTTAAATTCCCGTAAAATTAAACTATTTAATGCAAAAAGAGCGAATTCCCGAGCAGCTTTTGCCTGACCTTGGGACAATTTGTTTATAACGCTGTTTTGTACGTCCTATTTTGTTAGTTGTATAGGGCTACTTAATTTCAACTTTTTGAAATTTTTCCTTTTCAATACGTTTCTTTGGATCAATTAGAACCTATATCTACGATATTAACTTCTAAAATTAACCTTTAGTAATTAAACAATTAGTTACAAAAAAATAAACAAAATGAATTAATGAATACCTGGAGCAACAGTTTGATGGTCAATCGAATCGGTGTTTGGCACACATGTTGGTCCTTGGATTGACCTGCTTTTCCTTAAATTTCATCAACATTCATCGTTTTTTTGCAATAATATTGTGCAATTTCCAAAAACTGATTTTTCCGTGTTCAACCTTTATTTTACAGTTAACAAATTGGTGAAATATGACTTAGATACTTTAAATTGTAGGTAATTTAATTGCCTACAACATATAATGACTAATTTTCCGATAGGTCATCTAGATTTTTGCGGACAGTAAAAAAAGTGAAAAAACACGTAAATTTGCCACTTATTTACAATTTGCCACCTTAGCATCACTTCTTTCGAGTTACTTTTTTGATATTCTACGCCCTTCCCCGTCATAAAGTGCAATAAAATGTCTACTAATAATTTTTTGACTTTCAAACTAATTCGATTGGATTAAAAAATTTGTTAAAACAACCCCTAACAAATCCTTACCCGAAGAGAAACTTGTGATGTATGAGTTATACATTGTTTTTAATAAATATTTTTAGGACTTAATTATTTCTTGTAGGTGTTTTGGACTGATGTTATAGACGATAAAATATACAGAGGCACCGTTATTGGTGGATCTCTAAGCAACATTGAAGTTGTGGTACAGACAGGTTTATCTACTGCGGAAGGTTTAGCGGTAGATTGGATTGGAGAAAATTTATACTGGGTTGAAAGCAATTTAGATCAGATTGAAGTGGCCAAGCTTAATGGCAGTTATAGGCGTACTTTAGTAGCTGGTGAAATGGAGAGCCCTAGAGCCATAGCTGTAGACCCTAGAGATGGACATTTGTTCTGGACAGACTGGGATAATTCGCTACCCAGAATAGAAAGGTGTTCTCTAGCGGGATTGAATCGGCAAATCGTGGTTAAGGTTGTAAATGGTGGCTGGCCTAACGGTCTTACTTTAGATTATACCATGAGGAGGATTTATTGGATAGATGCACGCTCTGATTCGATACACACAAGCGATTATAATGGAGGTGATTTGCATGAGGTTATTCGCAACCATGAAACATTGTCGCATCCCTTCGCAATTACTCTATTTGAAAATTATATTTACTGGACGGATTGGAGATCAAATAGCGTTGTGCGGGCTAACAAATGGACAGGAGGCGATATTAGAGTTATACAGAGGACATTGACACAACCATTTGATATTAAGATAATGCATCCAAGCCGACAACCTCGTGACGGAGTTAACCCATGTGGCAAAAATAATGGGGACTGTTCGCATTTGTGTCTGATACATCTTAATCAGTCGTACAGGTGCGATTGTCCTCATGTTATGCGGCTTAGTGAAGACAACAGAACTTGTGTAGGTGAGTTTATAACTATAAATTTAATATTTATAACTACCTTTTGTTTTAAAATTCTTCATGAAAAAACAAGTAAAGAATATACAGGGTGTATCACTTTTAATAACGGGATATTTCAGAATAAATAGATCCGTGAAAATTATTTTTTTTTTAAGTTTTCACCACATAATTTTAAGATGATTTAATGTATTGCTGTAGAATTTTGGACGTAGTTGTGTTATAAGAAGGGCCGTAAAATTATATGAAAAATTCTGTTAAAAATAATCGCATAAGCGTTGGAGACGAGGACCTCTTTTTCTTAAAAATTTTCTTATGAAATTTTGTGCCCACCTTCAATTTTTTAAATTGTCATTTTTATTATTAAAAAATGTTTTAGTTTTTTTTTGGAATTTTTAGTATTTTTTGAGATAATAATTTCAAATAATTTTCTGACCTACTTTGTTAATCGTTTACGGTGAGATACAGCATTAACAAATAATCTAATAAACTTTTAAATAAGAAAGGAAATTACATATATAGATATTTGAAAATAAGAACTTGTTTTGTTCTATTGAAGGGAATTTCAAATGTAAATTGTAAAAGAATTAAAATCTATATGTACTTTTCTACTGTCATCCTGCTAGACAGTACCTAAGACAACTATTATAACAATTTTTACTGTGAAAGAAAATCACATTGGATTTGTTCCGTGAATTATTAGTACACATATAAGTATCTAGATACCATCTTTTTAATATTTACATCTATTATGTTGGACAAAAGACACTTCAAATTTCTAGCCCTGAGGATGGTGTAAAATAACACCGAAACGTTTGCAATGATTTAAAATATAGTGTTTTTTTATTTATTGATCTTTATCCCACTAAAATCCTGACTTGGATTAAAATCTATGTTTGGTATGGTATGAAAACCTGAAGATTAAATTTTGGTATATCTAATTTACTAGCTATCCTCCCATTCATCTGAATCCATGTCTGATTCCTAATACTTAGTGGTATATTGTCCGTCCACTATACATTTCTTTAGTTGATTAAACTTGTTATCGGAAAATCGTAAAATAATATGGAATTTAACCGATAAAGTAAAAAAAAAGGTACACAAATATTGTCACAAAATACACCCATCCGTTAACAATAAATTATCTTCGAAATGGTCGAAAAATTGTATTTCGTGTGGAATTTCGTGACTGCACACTGTAAGTATTCTTAATAAATGAGGGTTTGTCCTATAAAACGGTTTGAAGAAAATTGTGTTTTTATTGCACACTTTGTAAAATCCATTTACATTGTGTGTGTACTGGTAATAAATTTTGCACGAAATATAAATATCAAATTTTATACAGCTGAAAACTTTTGAATCTGAAATTTGAAGTTGTAGGATCCTATAATTGTCCTGTCTACCTTTTTTGTTGTTAATTTTACAAATTCTATATTTGGCAGTGCTAAGTGCAATTTTCTTGACAAATTTGAATTTGTTATCTTGAAAAATACTAAAAATTAAAAAAAATCAAGAAACAATTATTAATAATAATATTACAGCAATTTAAAAAAAATCTCTAAGAAAAAAGAGTTCCCTTCACCTATATCTATACCTATGCGATTATTTTTAACTGTTTTTCTATAATTTTATGACTTCTTAAAACAAAACTATGTCCAGAATTTATTAATGGTTTTGAAGTTATATTACAAAAACTTGGAAAAAAAGAACATTTAACACTAAATCATGTGCCTCATAGAAAAAATGTATAAGCAAAAAGATTATTTTTCACTGATCTGTCTATTTTGACATATTCCTTATTTAAAACTGATACTACCTGTATATTTATACAGGGTGATCCAAAATTGAGTTCTGCTATTTTTAGGATATTACAAAATAGGGGTATCTTGTTATACAGGGTGACCCGTTCATGTTTCAAAAAAACTTGTTTCTCATGGGAAAATAATAGGGGTAGTTCTTGTAGTTTTTTTCTTAGATGCCCTGTTTTCAAGATACAGTGTGTTGAAGTTGTTACTTTCCAAATGGTTTTCCTTAATTATCCTTAAATTTGCTAAAGATAAAAATGTCAAAACACATGCTACGGAATTTCGACAAGTATACCTTTTTTTGTGGTATACTTTAGAGTTTACAGAAACATTTAGAAATGTAATAAATTTTGATTTTTAACATATTTTTTCTTCGATTGTACCCCTTCAATTACTTATATCGGCGACACTGCTTTTCAGAAAGAAACTGTTTGCACATTATTCTTAACGCACAGTTGATGTTTACTCGTGTACAAATTTTGACATTTTTATCTTCAGCCAATTTAAAGATAATTAAGGAAAACCATTTGAAAAGTAACAACTTCAACACACTGTATTTCGAAAACACGGCGTCTAAGAAAAAAACTTTACATGAACTACCGCTATTATTTTCCCACGAGGAACTTGCATACAAGTTTTTTTGAAACATGAACAGGACACCCTGTATAAAGTAAGACAAATATATTATAGAAAAATCTATACAAAACGTACCTTTATTTTTGATAGACAATTTATGGACCATCCTGTAATGTAGGTATTTCAGTTTCAATTAATAAATTCAAAATAAATTTGTAATTATTTCTTCGTAGTGCATGTCTTAAATGAGTTTTTGCACTAGTTAATTTGTTCCAATGCATTTTAGTGAATGAAAAGGTGTTGTTAATTTCAAGAAGTAGTGAAATTCGTGGAGTGGACCTAGAACAACCCTATTATCATACTATACCGACAATAAGTGTGCCACAAGTAATAAGTCCCATACATTTGGAGTATGTATCACACAATAGCACTATATATTGGGTGGATACTCACATAAATGAAGTAAAACGTACAGGCTTAATTCAGGGTCCAACAGAAACACTCATAGACACAGGTCTGGACAATCCGTCCGGCTTAGCAGTGGACTGGATATCTAATTTGCTCTTCGTCGCTTCCAAAATGGGAATAATCGTGTGCAATTTAGATGGAGAATTCACCACTAATATCCTTCAAAACGTGATTATTTTGTCTATTGCTGTTAATCCATTACAAGGCAGTTTATATTGGATATCACTTAATAATGAGACAGCTCTAGTCGAAACAAGTGCTATGGATGGAAGTTCCAGGAAAACTATTGTTGATGCTCTTGCTTCAAATTCTTCTAAATGTTTAACTGTTGATCTAGATTCTGAGCGGTTATATTGGATTAGTGGATATGAAGTATTTTACTGCAATTTTGATGGTAGTAATGTTACAAAATTAAAATTGCCCCCACATGTATCTTCCATAACCGTATATCAGGGTAAAATATATTATTCCAACGATGGTGATCATACCATCCACTTAGCTGATAAAAGTACAGGATTAAATGACACTTTATTGCGCAATAATACGGATAGTGTACTAGCTTTACGAGTTTATGATCCATTAGAGCAGCGAGGCGATCACATTTGCAATAGTAATAAGTCAATATGCCAACATCTATGCATTCCCATATCGGATAAAAATTTCACCTGCAAGTGTGCTATTGGTTATAAAGAAGACTCCCAAGACCCATCTAAGTGTACTGGAATTGAAGAATTTCTGTTTTACTCCAACAACTGGGAACTACATGGTTTGGCATTAGATGGTACAAACGATACTCAAGTTTTGGGCCCTATATCTAAAGTGTCAAGTGCTAATGCAATCGATTTTGTAGCTGCTGAAGATTTAATATTCTGGGCAGATACCGACAGGGGTACAGTTGCAAGAATAAAGAGAGATGGTACCGGAAGAAAGTTTGTTCTCGAACAAACCGAGATGATGGAAAATGTTCCCATTGATTGGTTGACCAGCTTAGCTGTGGACTGGATAGCAGGAAACATGTATTGGTGCGATTCAAAACGAGGTACAATAGAAGTATCACGATTAGACGGCACAAAAGAACATGTACTGTTATCAAATGAAATTGGTAAACCAAATTCTATAGCCTTAGATCCAGTTAGGGGATACATGGTGTGGACTACTGGCAGGAAGTTAGAAATTGCTACTCTAGATGGCCAAAATAGAAAATTGTTATTGGATAATCAAGTGTCTATTAGTGATGTAACCTTCGACTCCAAAAATGAAGTGATCTATTTCTGTGATTTTGGGGCTAATACTATTGAAAGTATTACATATGATGGCAAAAAGCATACCGTTTTACTAAACTTTTCTTTGGAGAACCCAGTAGCATTGACAGTATTTGACGATAAGCTGTTCTGGATAGATATGTGAGTACACAAAGTAAATACAATAGGTATATTTCATTGTTGTAATGAAAAATTGAACAGGGTGTCTTTAAGTTGGATAAGAGTAAGAATATGCTTTAAATAACATTTATTTGAAAACTTGAAAAGGTTTGCCTAAAGAGAATGTTCAAAATTATTACCTTTGCTTTCAATCATACAGATTATCGCTGATATTGGTCCATTGCCGCCTATCCACCTGTGGAAAATTCATTATTTAAGTAATCTTTCATTCATGTCTACAATGAAATGGAGCACTGTCGTGTAAAAATCACATGGATCATGTAACCTTTAAGGGCACATCTACAAGTAGTTCAGACTTCGGAAAAATTAACAGATCGGGTAACTTTTGAGGACACACTTGTGAGGGTGTTTAGGAACAATATATAAAAAGTTACCAACCATAGAGTGCACGCTTGATTATTTATTTAACAAATTAGTTGCAAAATTCCATTGTTTATTGTATATCTTAACAAATTCAATTTTTTTTTTTGAAACTAATTGCGCCAATCGAATGAACGGGAAATTTTACATGAAAAATGTATATAAAGTTATTTTCTAAAATGAAAACTGTAATTTGTAGAATTTTTTTTAAATTGTATGAAAATGTAAAGCGTGGGCCCTTGTGCACAGGACTCAAGCAACGCGCAGCCTCACACACTATCCACTATATTTGTTATAACTTTTGATCAATTTGATCAAATTAAGTCCACAGAAATTTAAATGAAAGAGGAATTTTGTAGCTAACAAGTTATTATGATTTTAAAATCGAAAAAAATATTTGCAGGAAATAAAGGTTATGTAACGTTAGAATTTTCTACAAAATTAATTATAAGATCTGTCATTTCATTAATTTTTAAGATAAAAATCTAAAACTTTCAAACATTACTCTTGAAATAGCATTTAAAATAGTGAGTGATATAAAAAAAATCTTAATATTTTAATTTGAAAAATACAACGCTCGAAATATTCAATAATTTTAAAATAAGGCAAATTTGTTTTTTTAGGTCACGTTTCAAAGTCAAATAACTTTAGTTCACAATATGATATTGTAACTTTACAAGAGCATTTTTTGAAGCTTGAAAACTGTACTTTAAGATGGTCCATTTTGTTTTATTTAACTCGTCGAATTTTGAAAAAATGTTTTGTTACTATAATATTGTATAAAATACGAAAAGATACGGTTTTTCAATAAATTGTCACGAGATTCAGTTTTACCTATATTTTTTTTCGTGATGAAATTATGTAATAGAAGTTTATCTGGTAATGTAATTCATTTTCGTGATTCGAGAATTATTTTTGAATATTAGAAAGAGATAGAGAGAACATCTGCTCGGTGAATGGAGCTTACCTGGCGCATGTTACATGTCTAATGGAGAGATTCGGGTATGACTCCAACTTTTATGACTCAAGATCTGAACTTCTCAAATTGATTTTTTGCGGATGCAAAAGTGGCTGTGCTAATAATTGCGGTTGCCGGAAGGCGGGCCTACTTTGCACCATAGCATGCTCTAATTGTTCCGGAACTGATTGTCTCAATTGCCAAGCATTTTTCGAAGAAGAACGAGAATCAGACCAATTTCAAGAGAATGAAAATTGAATATTGTTATTTTTTTATACATATTTCTATTTTTAATATGCAAATACTTTTTCATATTTAATAAATTTGTTACCTACTTAAGAATCCCATATATTGACTTTTTGCAGAACCCTAAACATCATACCCAAATTTCTTTAAAATTTAACTAGTTTTTATTTTATATTTGTTCAATGATCTGAAAAATATCAATATGAGTAAAATTGCTTTGAAAATGTAATTTTGAAATAAATTGTTTAAAAAAGTCGGCCATATTGGATCAGCCATTTTGATTTTACATTTTCTGATATAATATTCTTGTTCGGAGACCTCAAAAACCCCTATAATGTCAATTTAACTAAATTTACTTTGAAATTTGTAATTTTTAAATAAATTTTAAAAAAAGTCGGTTATATTGGATCGGCCATTTTGAATGTTTATTTTGTGATATAATATTCTTGTTCAGCAACTTCGAAAACCCCTATAATATCAATTTGATTAAAATTGCTTTGAAAATTATAATTTTTTAATAAATTGTTTAAAAAAAGTCGGCCATATTGGACCAGCCATTTAGATTTTTATTTTTTAACATTATATTCTTATTCAGAGACCTCGAAAACCCCTATAGCATCAATTTGATTAAAATTGGTTTGAAATTTTTTGATTTATTTAAAATAATCTTTGAAAAACCATTTTTTATCGTTTAAACAATTAAATAATTAGCGTACAAATATAAGTTTATAAATTTTTTTTATAAGCCATTTCAAGTCGATTGCAAAAGGTTTTATGAAAATCCAAGGCTCTGCTAATTATTCCGAAATAATGCACATTTTTAAGCTACCTTTATTCCACTAAAGTGATTTATCAAAAAATGTGGTCTAACTAAGCCAACAGAGGCTGTAAATATGTTTACATTTATTATTGTTTTTTCAATTTCAGCTCACATAGCAGAGGCAGCGTAAAAATGGCCCCCACATCCAATTTGTCTCGCTTTGTCATACTAAAAGACAATTTGGGCGATTCATTGAAAGATATTCAAATATTCTCAAAACATAAGCAATATGGTACGAACCCTTGTGGTAAGGATAACGGTGGATGTGAACAATTATGCCTATTTAACAGTACCCACCCCGTGTGTGTCTGTTCACACGGTCGTATCGCATTAGATGGGAAAACTTGTGAACGTAGGTACATAAAACTAATCTGAATTTGAAATAAAATATTAAATTTTTAGCATTTGAAAGTTTTGTCATGTTCTCTCGTGTGGTCAGTATCGATTCCATACAGATGATTGGTGACAAGAATTTACAAAATTCACCTCAGCCTAGTATTAAAAACTCTACTTTACTGAAGAATGCTATAGGTCTGTCTTTCAGCTACAAATATCAAAGACTTTTTTATTCTGATATTCAGAAAGGTTCTATTAATACTGCATTCTTTAACGGCACTGATCATAAGATCATTGTTGAAAGTAAGTACAATTTTTATATAATTTTGTTTACCGACTTTCAAGTTTACAATATAATTGATTAAAAAATTTTAAAGTTTGAATTCAAGTGCTCATAATAAGAACAAAAGTATGGAAAAATATCCGGAAATGCTTTGTTTTCAAGATATATTTTGTTGAAACTTGAAAAAAAATGTTTCTTATATAAAATGGATTTTTTACAAAAATAGAATTTTTTCAGAAATAGACCACATAGCCACAAAAAATACATAAGTTCTATGCCAAACATATATTCATATTTATATTTTTTGAAAAAATTTATATTTTTTTGTGTAATAAGTGTAATATTATAATAACTCACAAAGGATTTGTTTTTGAAAAAAAAATGGAAGAAATATATATTTTTCAAAATATTAGTGAGAGTATGGAAGCGATCAAATGGCGTTTTCAGTAGATTTTGAACTTAAACGTGTTAATTCACTGGTATAGGCGCCATTTTGAATGCGCCATTTTGAAAACTTGTAAGGTGTACTTAATATTAGGTTGTGTACTTGCTTACGAACGTTTCTAGTTAGATAGCATGAGCTTAACCGCAATTAAATGGCGTTATTAGCAGATCTTGACCTAAAATCGAGCTATTTCGCTTATATAAGCGTCATTTCGAGGTCGCCATTTTAAAATTTGTGCAAGGAGCACATAACATTTGGTAGAGCACTTCCGTATCAACGTTTTGTGTTGAATAACACTAGCTCATATACCGTCAAATGTGGATTGCAACAGGTTTAAGCCAAAAATTTTGGTATTTCGATGATATCGGCGCCATTTTGAAGTCGCCATTTTGAAAATTCAGACACGCATGGAATTTGGTAACTCTCTACCAGACAAACATTTTTTGTTGCATAGCTAAATTTTCGTCATCATCGCTCCTTTTTCAGTAGCACTTCTTTCAGGAGGTCGCAAAAATTCGTGGATAGTAGCCGCCATATTGCAACCGCCATCTTGAAAATTAAAAAGCGCCACACGGCTTTCGGAAGCACTTGAATTTTTTAAGCCATTGTGCGATTTTTTTGACCGATTCAATTTTTGTACTAGCGGGTGGCACGGTTATATATATATTTTTTTTTTTAGAATCATGGACATTTTTTGATGAAGAAAATATGGATTATTGCTAAAAGAACATTTTTAACTTAAAAAAATGAATAAAAAGTGAAAAATTACTTATTACATTGATTTTCAGCAAAACGACAAATTTAAACATTCCCGGCACTAAGAAAAAAAAAATCGCAGCAGTTTGAAATTATCAGGGTTTCATTACGATGCTTTGAGGTTGAAAAGTTACAGTCGATGTCCTTAGCTTATTCATTATTTACAAAGTTATTCCAAGTTATTCAAATATCCCTAATTATGCAATTTTTTACTTTTTTTCTAACCAACATTTTCACTTCGAAAAAATTTTTTATATCAAGAACCCTGCTTGTATTTTTTGTACGACCATTATCTCCCGAGTAATTGATTGCCAAAGTCAAAAATGATTTTTTTGCTTTGATCGACGATCACTCAGCGAGAAATAAACATACAAGGCTCCGGAACCACTCAAATTAGAGAACTTTATCTAAAAGAGCTTTACGATGAAATTACCAAACAAATTTTTTTTAAGTCCATAGACCATTTCAAAAAAAGCAAAAATTTACAAATTTTTTATTCCGTTGATTTTCTTATTACTAAAAAATTGCTGACACTAAAAAATTTTAAACTGAAGATCTGAAAACTAAACACCTGAAGCTGCAATTCTATTTTTTTTCTTCTCTCTACGATCATTTCCCTCCAAGTTACAGCTCTTTGAAAATCACCCAAGATTTTGGGATTTTTTTAATACCCCATAATTTCTGTGCCTAGTGTATCTTTAATGATGCAATCACTTATTGACTGGTATTAACGGCTGGTTCCTTATCTGTAGATGTCGATTCAGAAGTAAAGCTGTATTGCAGCTGTTCCACTTGTTCAGAATTTTTTAATTTCATTATTTAAAAAAAAAACAATGAAATGTGACAATTTTCTTTTGTAAAAATCATTTCGTTACATGCACATGTAAAACATGAAACATACTATATAACTAAACTTTCTGAGCTAGATGTGTCTATGTGGTTTTTCCGAGGTTGTTCAAGTAAGAATTTTTAGATAAACTACAAACGAGTGTATTTTAATTGAATATTTTTTTTCTAAATGGATATAGTAAATTGAAAATAAGTAAAACATAAACTTATGGACATATAACCAGACCCTTGAAGTTTAGTGGGCCCAAAAGAGGGTTATAATTTTGCCAAATGGGCCACTGCCTTGTTTGACCATGTTCTGAAAAATTTAGTTAATCATTTCTGGTTATGTGCCTGTGAACTTACCAAAAATGTTTATATTAATTTTTTTGTGTTATTTTTTTTTAGGGCAAGGGTCTGTAGAAGGTTTAGCATATGAACAACTAGGCAATGCTTTATACTGGACTTGCAACAATGAAGCATCAATTAATCGTGTAAATTTAACACACACAATGTCTAATGCCAGTCATGTCGAAACAATAGTGCGTTTACGACTACAAGACAAACCAAGAGGAATCGCTGTGGATAGTTGTGGAAGTCGAGTTTACTGGAGTAATTGGAATTCTCATCAGCCTAGCATTGAACGGGCATTTTTAACTGGCTACAGACGAGAATCCATAATAAAAACAAACATACGAATGCCAAATGCTATAACTCTTGATCACAAAGCACAGAAACTTTATTGGGGAGATGCAAGACTAGATAAGATAGAAAGATGTGAATATGATGGCTCAAATAGAGTAGTTCTGGCCAAGGTAACTCCTCAGCACCCATTTGCCTTAGCAGTGTACGGAGACTTCATTTATTGGACAGATTGGATGCTGCATGCAGTAATAAGAGCTGATAAATATACAGGCCAGTATGTCGTTCTCTTGAGGAGAGATGTTGCTAGACCAATGGGGATCGTTACGATAGCTAATGATACAGAAGATTGCTTCTCTAATCCTTGTTTAATACAGAATGGAGGATGTGAGGAGATTTGCAAATTATCATCATCGGGTGCTGTAGAATGCGCTTGTTTGGAAGGTCGTGTGTTGACTGACGATGGACAATGTATTTCTAAAATATTTACTAACTGTACCAACAACGGAGACTCTTTCCGATGTTCAGACGGCGGATGTGTACCATTCCATCTCACTTGTGACGGTATACCAAATTGTGCAGATCGATCAGATGAGGAACCAGGTTATTGTGGGTATCGTACCTGTCCGTTAGGCTGGTTCCCTTGTCAGAACAAGATGTGCATCTCGTTAAATTTGACTTGTAATGGTGTAGACGATTGCGGTGATTCAACCGATGAACTCAATTGCTCCTGTACAGAAGTGGGTCGTTTCCTTTGCGGTAGTGGCGAGTGTATAGACAAGATTCATAGATGTGATTATGATCCTGATTGTCATGATAGATCTGATGAAATTGGCTGTGGTAAGTAAAATAAAAAGTTTTGAATGTTTTTGGTTTCTAAGAGAATGGCAAAAATATTAAGTGCAAATAAATTGAAGACGATGTAAGAAAATATTCCCATTTTGATAGTACTTATCTAATTTGATTAATAAAAAATGTATGTATTTAAAATAATATAAAAACAATATAAACAATACACAATATAAACAACAATACAGACAATATACAACATTAATACCTTTCTTAAATTCACAAAGTGATTATGTCAATCTTTCGCATTATCATTACGTTTTATCAAAACGGTGCTTTATACAGGGTGTCCCGTTCATGTTTCAAAAAAACTTGTGTGCAAGTTTCTCATGGGAAAATAATGGGGGTAGTTCATGTAACATATTTTTCTTAGACGCCCTGTTTTCGATATACAGTATGTTGAAGTTGTTACTTTCCAAATGGTTTTCCTTAATTATCTTTAAATCGGGCTAAAGATAAAAATGTCAAAATTTGTACATGAGTAAACATCAACTGTGCGTTAAGAATAATGTGCAAACGGTTTCATTCTGAAAAGCAGTGTCGTCGATACAGATAATTGAAGGGGTACAATCGAAGAAAAAATATGTTAAAAGTCTAAATTTATTACATTTCTAAATGGTTCTGTAAACTCTAAAGGATACTAGAAAAAAAAAAGTATATTTGTCGAAATTCGGTAGCATGTACCATTTTCGAGAAAAATTTATTTGAATTTTTTTTGCTCACATAAAGCGGCACAAGTACATTAACAAAATATTAAATTGAAAGAGGACTTTACCATTGAGTAAGCTGAAGACATTTAGCTACCAACAGTATTTGCATTTAAGGCTATAATTTTAATTTCTTACGTATCACATGAAACAGTTAAATTGTAAAACATTTTATTAACCAAAAAAAAAAATTAAATTTATTTTAAGTTTTAGTTTATTATAAACTAACATTCAAAAAAGTAAATCAAAATAAACAGATTATGATAATTAATTGTCTATTATTAACTAATTTTAGATTTTGTAAACTACTACACTATCATTACTAAAATAAACAATTGTTGAATGGACTGAATTGATGGACATGAATGCTTAAAACAAGTGATAAAAACAGAATAATATTAGGAAACAGACTCGGAGACATATAGAACAATTGCTGCGCAATTAAATAAATGTGCAAACTCGAAATGCTACAGTATATACTGAAATTGTCCCCCATTTCCTTCTGTGCAACTTCATTTTTCTTGATAGCATGTACCTATCGAATTTCAACAGGTATACCTTTTTTTTTTTTTGTATGCTTTAGAGTTTACAGAACGGTTTAGAAATGTAATCAATTTTGACTTTTAACATTTTTTTTTTCATTTTTCCCCTTCCGGTTCCTTTTTTGGGGGCCATTGTTTTTCAAAAGGAACCGTTTTGCCCTTTTTTTTTACGGCCCGTTTGTTTTTTGTTGTTTTCCAATTTTTGCCTTTTTTTTTTTTGGCGGTTTTAAGGTTATTTAGGGAAACCCTTTTGGAAGTTACCACTTTCACCCCCTTTTTTTTTGAAACCGGGGGTTTTAGGAAAAAAACTTCCTTGACTTCCCCTTTTTTTTTTTCCTTTTGGAACCCCAGTTTTTTTGAAACATGAACGGGGCACCCTGTATATGAGTAACAGTCAGCTTTTTTACTTCCTCAATAAGATCACAGTACTGCAATTTCTTAAGGCAAATTGATTTATAAAGTTTAAAATTATATGAAAACGGAAACATACCTTAATAGATGTCACAAAGTGTAATATACAGGGTGTCCCATAATTATTCTGAGAAAATAATAGGGGTTGTAGAAATATGCTGTTTGGACGCTACAGCAAAAAAAAATATCAAAAAATATCAGTTTATTGAAACAGCTTAGAGTAATTGCTCAAAGTGTCCTCTACGTTGCTCAGTACACAACTGGGCATGATTGTTCATTGATTTGCGAACTCTGGAATATCCCCTGTATGTTCTGAACCTGTGTAGATGCGGCCATCCATCTTCCCAGTTGTTGGTTGGAAACAGGAGTTTCATACACTAAAGCGTTTAGATGGCCCCAGAGAAAATAATTCAACAAGTCAGGCGACCACACAGGCGAATGCACAGGGCCATCTCGGCTTATCCACCTGTTGGGTCCAAATACTGCCGCACTGGCAAAGCAAAGTGGGTTGGAGCGCCATCATGTTGAAATCACATGTCAGTTCTTATGTCAAGTGACACATCCTCCAATAGTTCCGGAAGCATATGCTGTAGGAATTGAGCATAAACATGCAACTTCTCCGTAAATCATATGCATATCAGCAAGTTCCGCATACGAATAATGCTCCATTTTACTACCAAATTAATGCTATTTACGTTTCGCGCACCAGTCACTACATCTGAATCGGTGTGGTGACTTTAGGCTGATTAAAATATAAACAGCAAGGTAGTGAGTCAACGGACACCTGCGCTATAGTGACCAAACGGCATATTTCCGCAAAGGGATTTATAAGGCCAAATTGCTTATTTTCATTCATTTCTACAACCCCTATCATTTTGTCGCAATAATTATGGGAAACCCTCCCTGTATACTTTGTGGCAGATATTTACCATTTGCCATAATTTCTAGTGATGGGAGAACTCGAATAAAAAATCGAGTACTACCCGATTCTTAATAGTACTTATTCTCGGATACTTGCTAAAAGTACAAAAATACTTTTTGTTCTCGATAGTTGTCAGGCTACCTAGCAAATATCATGCGAGATGTGTTCTCTATCAAATAACATTCACTTGAACAAACGGTTGACTCAAAAACAGAAATAATTTCAAGTACTTATTCTAAATATCTACACACATATTGTATATGATTTTAAAAAGATTTGTTGGCAACAAAAGATTATATTGAAATAATCACATTTTTTAGGAAATATATTTAAAAAGCAGTACATTTAAATAATTCTATACAAAGCTTTATATAATAAACATGTAAATATACCAATGCATAATGTTTATAACATTCAATCTTCCGTAAGGCACTTTATTCTCCATTCTCAGTACTCAGATAATCATTTGATTCTGCGTTTCACTGATAATTCCTAAGGAATATCAACTTAATGATTTAAATAATTGACACATTTGTCAAAAATTCTGTAGTGAGCTGCCGCATATGGAGAATCACTGAAACAGGGCAATGGAACAGACTAAAAATGGCACCGATAAATAGATATGCATATGAACTAATAATTGTAGAATATGCCAAGATAATTCTTATTGTTGAATTAATAAATGTTGAATGTTACTAATCATTGAGTATGTATTACTATTTTTGTATTTTTTTTTTCAGAAAAACCCAACTGTACTTTGTTGCATGGAAAAGACTTTGTAAACTGTAAATACACCACAGCTTGCTTGCATAAAGATTGGTTTTGCGATTCAGATGATGATTGTTGGGACAATTGGGATGAATCTAACTGTACTCATGTTGAAAAACCTTGTCCCATAGATTATTTCCAGTGCTCTAATGGATTATGCATAAATATAACCGCTCGCTGTAATGGCTATAATGATTGCAATGATACAAAGGTTGGAAGTACACTTAGCTCTGATGAATTGAATTGTAAATCAAGTAAGACATTTTACTTTTTTTTTTTATTAATGTAGCTAGGTATATATTATGAATTTTAAAAAATGCACACTAATCTAAAAATTGCGTAATTTAAGTAATTTATAAGGTATTTAATTAATTGGACAGTAAAGTAAATTGGTATTTTAGGAAATAAATGCCGCAGTAATGAATTTCTCTGTGAAAATGACTCAACTTGTATACCTCTAGCTTGGCACTGTAATGGAGTTTTTGATTGTGAAGATCAAAGTGACGAATTAAATTGTAGTAAGTATATTTATTTAAAACTAGTATAAAAAATTCATCACCAGCAGAAATATATTTCATACAAGGTGTTTTATAATTCAAATGGATTTGTCAAGGTTACTAGAACCTATAAAATTATTGAAACGCTTCCGAGTATAGAGCTTTCATAAATGATTACAAGCTACATGATAGCTGAGCTTAGGCAATCAACATTGCACGGCAGATTCTGTCAAAAATCCCTAAATCTTAGCGTCACCGATATTAAGGATTTGTTTACAATTAACAGTGACAAACCGTTACGTCTACGCTCGACATAAAGTGATCGCTGATAGATTAAATAGAATCTCGCGAAAAGTTACACCAGTGTTGTCTTTTATTGTAATCTTGTTCTTATTGTTTTAATAATTTTTAATTTTACCGAGATTTAATTACCAATGTGAAAGAAATAAAATTACTGTTGCAAATAAAATTTAGTGGTTATGTGACTTGTAATCATTTATGAAGCCTTTGTACATGTGGCTATTTCTTTTATTATTTATATGTTCTTTTATTTATCGGTACAAGTTTCACACGTAGTGTGCTGAACTTCTAAAAGAATAACACAATTTGAGGTAGTTGTATCCCAAGTGCGGAGTTCAAGTAGAAAATTTTCGAACAAGTCTCATATTTGAGTCACGTAGTTTCGACAACTGGTAACATCGTACAGAGCGAAGTTGTGTGTGAGAGATTAATGGAAATAGATATTTATAGGGCACAAACTGATATTTACAGGTTAGGTTAGTGTTAAATATAGTGGATGCATTACAATCGTTTGGTAAGTTTTTAAAAAAATTTGCAGAAATCGTCCGTACTGTTTGATATAAGTTCCGTTAAACGAAAAAAGGAAAATGGAACAAAAAAGGTTTTAGTTCAAAATTTTATAGAATGTCAGCGTGTGAAACTTTTCTCCAATGTGCGACGTTGCCACATTTCATTGCGTGAATAATTATGAAAAATTTAAAAGTTTGAGTATTAATATCTTTAATACTAGCAGGTCAATCCTTTCCAGATTCTTACATATAATGAATTTCTACACAAATTAGTCTTGCCTAAAATTTTAGCAGTTTCTCGAAGGGTTATTGCTACAGTAACATTTTCATCTTAACGACAACATTTACCATATTACCAGAGCTACGAAATATTACGTAACAAACACCCTGTATATTTTATTTGTTCTACAAAAAAAGATACATTTGTGGGAATTTTTTCCTTAAAAAATCGCTAATAATACTTCCACTATAAAAATGATCATAGTTGAACATGACTTGCAATTAAAAATGATTGGGACACTATTCTAACGTACTTGAAAAAAGAAGTTCTCTAAAATTGGTCAGAAAATAAAATAAAGTTGTAGTAGAACACACCGTATATATATTTTTTTGATTTACAACTCGAAATTTCTGAGCTACAAGCGCAAAAAATGGAAAACATGATTTACAACTCGGAAGTCGAGTTACACATCATGAAAAATGTAATTTTGATGGCACGTTGTTAGGTTAGGTTATTTAATAGACATTTTTCTGACTTAACTAAAAAATTTCAATTAGTAAAACTGAAAAATAAAGAAAATATATAATGATCTTTCCACACACTCATACGATCTTGATTTTGATATTATTTATTATTCATCACATAAATAAATTACATTTTTTTTAGACCTTCAGTGCCGTACCGATCAATTTCAATGTTCAAACACCGAATGCATACCAAAGTCCTGGCAATGTGATGGCAATCCGGATTGTGCCGACTTTTCTGATGAGACAGAACATTGCTCTTTGAATGAATGCGGTAAATGGGAGTTCCGCTGTAATAGTACTGGTCGATGTATTCCTTTAACATGGGTGTGTGATGGAGAAGCAGATTGTCAAGACAACGCTGATGAAGACCTTCTCCAAGGCTGCACACTTAATATATGCACAGATGAACAATTTCGGTGCAATGACGGAGGCTGTATCCATAAAGTATATTTATGTGATGGGGATAGAGATTGCCGGGATGGCTCTGATGAGTCAGCCGATTGTTATAAGACTTGCATAGCTGGGGAATTCCAATGTAAGAACGGTAATTGCATTATGGAACTTATGAAATGCGATGGAAAAGATGATTGCGGTGACGGAAGTGATGAAGGGGAGCAGTGCCAAAGAGAAAAAGAGTATTGTAAAGACGAAGGCCAGTTTCTTTGTTCAAATGGTGTTTGTATAAATGATACCCTTCTGTGTGATGGCGAGGATAATTGTGGTGATTATTCCGATGAAAACAAATGCAGTAAGTAATATTACACTTATATTTTATTTAATATATAAGTTGTGATGTTTACCTAGAAGTATCGTATAGAGATTGATATTAAATGTATAGGATGTTCTTACATTGGCTAGCTATTTTGTACTTTGGGTCAAAATGAATACAAAATAAAATCAAATGTAGTAGGGGCCAATGGGGATCAGCTACACAAAACTAAGGGAGGTGGGGGCTAGGAGGAGGGGGTCTTAGGTCCACCTAAAAAATTGCTGCCCCACTCTTTGGCCCACACCCAGCTATAGAGGAATAATTATCAAAATAATATACATAAAAGAATTATACACAGGGTGGGCAATTAGTATGAGAAAGTAAAATAACTCCCTTGTTACTCATAAAACAGAAAAAAAGTTTATATAAAAGTTATACAGAATCACTAAACCTAAATTACAAAATTAATTTGGTACAGGGCCATGAGTAAAAATGGGACACGTCAAATATTACATTTTTCAATTGGAACACCCTGTATATTTTTAAATATATGGATTTCCGAGAAAATTCTATATATGGCAATATAAACAGTTTATCATTTTAGTGTGGGGTTGCCGAGTTATGTAGAAAATTTTTTGAATTTTGGAAAAAACATGATCTCGAAGAAGTTGTATTAACTTTCAGCTACTAACACTTGGAACAAAATAATTAAACAGTGTTATAGGCAAATGTTAGACAAAGGCTCCTATATTAGCTAATATCGATATTTTATACAGGGCATTTTTTATAATACGATCATTTTTAGAAAGTTTAAACTTGATTTTCTAAAATTTTTCAGATGGAATACCCTATATTTTATTGTTCTATTTTATTCATATATCAGTCCGCTTCAATTTTTATTAAGCATTATCTATATCTAAAATTGTTAGCTTTTAAGATATAGCAACATTTCTGAGAAAACTTTTATTATTTTATGGAATACCACAAATAAATATTAACTAATAATCTTATGAATTAACTCAAAATGGAATGATGAATTATGAACTAACAAGTTGACACAACGTGACAGTTTTTTTCAAAGCCATTTCGTGCGACCGAAAATAATAAAAATTAGGTTTTCCAGAAATGTTGTTATATCTTAAAAACTAACATTAGAACATACTTAAAAAAAAGTTGAAGTGGACTGATATGTGAATAAAATAGAACAATAAAATACAGGGTGTTCCATTTGAAAAATTTAGAGAATCAAGTTTGAACTTTCTTAAAATGATCGTATTATAAAAAATGCCCTGTATAAAATATCGATATTACCTAATATAGGAGTCTTTGTCTAACATTTGCCTATTACTCTGTCAAATATTTTTGCTCCAAGTGTTAGTAGTTGAAAGTTAACTTCACAACAACTTCTTCGAGGTCATGTTTTTTTCCAAAATTCAAATAATTTTCTACATAACTGGGCAACCCTGCACTAAAATGTTAAACTGTTTATATCGCCATATATAGAACTTTCCATATGTTTAAAAATATACAGGGTGTTCCATTTAAAAAATGTAATATTTGGGGTGTCCCGTTTTTACTCATCACCCTGTGTGTTTCAAATTAATTTTGTCCTTTAGGTTTTTTGATTCTGTAAAACTTATACAAACTTTTTTTCTGTATTATGAATAACAAGGGAGTTATTTTACTTTCTCACACTAATGGCACACCCTGTATAAACAAAAGTCTAAAAATTGAATTTCTTATATTGACCCGATTGGATGAGTAAAATGTAAAAAATTACACTAATCAGAAGCCGGTGAAATAGTGAAAAATCGAGTGGTACTCAATTATTGAGATCATTCGAGATATCTCGAGATGTTTACTCCCACCACCCAAGTGATTATTACTCTGCTGCTGCTCCCCAAAATGTTGCTGCATACTGCAAGTAGTCACTGATTGCGCGACATTTTTTTTTAGAATAAATCGAAAAAGCGTTTAAGTTTTTAAGTGTGTGTTTTTTTTGTAGCTACATGCTTATAAGTAATATATGACTAATGCAAACATATTTGTGTGCCGCTGGGATGAAAACGACCAATATCTCGTATCTCGAATGATCACTTGATTATTAGAAGTACTCGATTACCAATAATTCGATTATCAAAATTGCTCGATTATGCCCATCACTAGTTCTAACATAACCTTGATCTTCTTCTTCTTCTCAATTGATGGCCTAACATTTAAATGTATTTGGACAGGTTCACACTTTTTTCTATAACACATTCTCGGAGGATATACCGTGTGGTATGTCTGGGAGTTTCCATATCCTCAGAGATTTTACTTTAACCTTGTTCTTATTGTTTTAATAACTTAATTTTACTAAAATTTTATTGCCAACACGATGGAAATAAAATTACCTTTTCAAACAGAATTAGTGGTCACGTGGCTTTAATCATTTATGAAGCCTGTGTTCAAGGAATTCAAATCCATAATGATTTCTGATTTATAATTTTAATGATTTTTTTTAAACGTTTTAGATCATTTCAAAATTATTGCCACCTAATCAGCCAGTACAAATTCTTAATCTTTGAATACCTCGAATATAATTGTTGCTAGTTTGTTAGTGTGAGACAGATTATTGGCAACATATCAAGTTCCTTTATCTGTAGGCCTTAACAATTTTTAAATTTTGGACAGCACATTATTTATTATAAATTTGATGCTACTTTTACATAAAATTTTCCAAATTTGCCTCAACTATACAAATGATTATTGTCACAACTTCAGTAGTAAAAAAATACGACTCGATTTTATTAAAAAAAAATTGTTGAACAAAGAAAATTAAACAAAAGCTACAAAAGGTGATAAGTAAATGTTCGAACGGAAGAGTTTGTTTGTTGATGTTGAGTTGCATATTCTATTTGGTATTTAAACTTTTAATTTATTATACTTCTTGATAAGTTAAATTATTCAATTAATATTCAGTTTTATGAAATATTTACAAACAGTTTTTATATTTTGTTAGATATCGATGAGTGTGCTGCCACTCCATCCCCTTGTTCTCAGATCTGTGTAGACAAACCAGTGGGTTATGTGTGTCAATGTAACCCAGGCTTTAAAGTGAGTTCCAAAGATCCAAATCATTGTGAAGACATTAACGAATGTCTGGACAAGCCTTGCAGTCAGATTTGTCGCAACACCAGGGGTTCATATCACTGTAGTTGTCAAAAAGACTACATATTACATTCTGACAAAAAATCATGCCGAGCCAATTCAACAGATAGAGTTACACTGATTTTAGCTAATAGGTATTACATACGAGAGCTTGACTTGAGAGGACATAGTACTTTGAGAGCTCATAATCTTACCAATGCAGTAGCACTTGATTACGATTGGGTAACTCAATGTATTTATTGGTCTGATGTAACACAACTCGGATCCTCTATTAAGAGACTTTGTGATTATAAGAATAACTCGACGGAAATGGAAATATTACATCAACCGTCTTTGCAAAATCCGGACGGTTTAGCTGTGGATTGGATTGGTAGAAACTTGTATTGGTGCGATAAAGTAAGTGTATTGATTTTTGACATTTTTTTTATTTGAAAATTGATATCAATGTATTGGTATTAAGTATAACCAAAGTTCAAAGACATGCAGTTCAGATATAATTGAACTTAATTTAGTAATGCATATATCTGCACAGAAAATATGTTGCAACACAATAACATTAAGATTAAATACGGGATGTTACAAACTTGGAAAAGATATTTGAATTTGTAAAAATGCAAATTATCTAATATATTTGAAGTACAGAGAAGTTTTCAGTTTCATAACAGCTGTATTTAAAACATATTAAGTGCTTTTCTTAGTTTGCTAGAATGAAATTTCAACATCTATTATTGCGCAAGAAAAATGATCATTCAGTATGTACTATTGACAAAACATAATATAGTAGAACTGTTTTAAGATTGCCATTACGTCACGCGTATGTTCTAATATCAAAGACAGTCGTTGCGGATGTATATTCATTATTAATCGCTCTGAAAAGAGATACAATGATGATATAAATGTCTTCATAGTCTCAATCTATCACAGACAACTATTCCAATATTTTATGTGTATTAGAGTGAAAGAAAATGGAGGACGTTTGTTGGGTATTAATTTTAGACTATAGTTTGACTAGCGCATTTAAAAACAGAACTGACACTCAGATTAATAATTTGACAGTTGTGTTGATCGCGTCTCCGTACTAACTGTTATATATATTTTCTGGGGCAAGGGTAATTTAACGAGGGATTTTTTTGGTTTAATATTTTTCTAGACATATGAAACATGACGTCTAGTTTATTTAATTAATTGTTACTTATAGATAAAGCTTCTGTAATTTGGAAAATACAGTCTTCAACATTGACCGAGGCATGCAAATATCTAGTCATTTTAGTTTTCGTAGAAAAAATTATAATTTATTCACAGAGTAGTAAAACAGGAAAATTGTTTTTTTCGATATTCAAATTTGCGTCAGTTACACTGCGTTCCCAAGGGTGTCTTAAATTCAACATGCCTTACAAGAATGGCTTCAGCGGTGTCGCCCCTTAACTTTTTTCTTCTTATTTCTTATAAAATGTAAAATATGTACATATTTAAGATTTATCCTGTATAAAACATAATGACTGTAACTTACAGTAATTTATTCAGATATAACGAGCGTTCAAATAAAAATGTGGTCGAAGTTGGCTCTGACACATTGGACGTAGGGAGTAGCTTATAGCGACCAACTTAACCTCATTTCCTAATCAGAAGCCGGTGAAATAGTGAAAAATCAAGTGGTACTCAATTATTGAGATCATTCGAGATATCTCGAGATGTTTACTCCCACCACTCGAGTGATTATTACCCTGCGGTTGCGCCCCAAAATGTTGCTGCATACTGCAAGTAGTCACTGATTGCGTAACTTTTTTTTTTAGAATAAATCGAAAAAGCGTTTAAGTTTTTAAGTGTGTGTTTTTTTTTTAGCTACATGCTTATAAGTAATATATGACTAATGCAAACATATTTGTGTGCCGCTGGGATGAAAACGACCAATATCTCGTATCTCGAATGATCACTCGATTATTAGAAGTACTCGATTACCGATAACTCGATTATCAAAATTGGTCGATTATNTTTGTACTCAACAACGCCGGGAAATTGATTTTGAAATTCTATGAAACATTCCTCAATAGAATACTTCCATATTCCATCAATCTTGCGTCCATTTCTAAAGTAGGACTCTATGATAAACACTTTTTGTTCTTGAGAAAACACCATTTTAAACGCTTTTTAAAACGAAAATATTCAAATTGATAGCGGCGATATAGCGCTTTGACAGATGACATTTAAGTTCATTTGCTATACGCTATGCCCTACGTCCAAATTTTCAGAACCAACTTGACCACGTTTTTATTTGAACGCTCGTTACAAAATATGCACCTGAAACAGTCGACTGCTATGTCATGAATCCAGGGCACTAATTATACATCACCCATTACTTATAATGTGTCGTTTTCAGGGATTAGATACAATTGAAGTATCAAGTCTAGATGGCAAGTACCGCCGTGTTTTGCATAACAAAGATTTGGAGGAACCACGAGCTATAGTTTTGGACCCGGTACATGGTTATATGTACTGGTCAGATTGGGGCACACGTGTTCATATCGGAAAAGCAGGCATGGATGCATCCAATCCAAGAGTTATAGTTAGTTCAAATCTAGGCTGGCCAAATGCGCTTACAATTTCTTATGAAACTAATGAACTTTTCTGGGCAGATGCAAGAGAAGATTACATAGCAGTCGCAGATTTAGATGGAAACAATGTCCGTATTGTGGCAAGTAGGGAAAAGAATCCGAAGTTGCAGTTGCACCACGTCTTTGCTATAGACATTTGGGAAGATTATATCTACTGGACGGATTGGGAAACTAAGACAGTGGAAAGATGTAACAAGTACACGGGGGAAGACTGTAAATCTGTTTTGTCGACCGTTCATCGGCCTATGGACATAAGAGTAGTTCATCCTTTCAGGCAGCCACAACCCAAAAAAAATCCTTGCTTAAATGCAAACTGTTCAGCTCTGTGTCTGTTAACACCCAACGAACCATTTTACACTTGCGCTTGCCCAGAAAATTATATCCTTGGAGAAGATGGTCACAGTTGCGTGGCAAATTGCACCTCTGCCTTCTTCGAGTGCAAAACTACATATAAATGCATTCCGTTTTGGTGGAAATGTGACACACAAGATGATTGTGGTGATGGTAGTGACGAACCTGAGGATTGCCGAAAATTTACTTGCATGCCAGGACAATACCAGTGTCACAATAATCAGTGCATACATCCTTCAGATCTATGTAATGGTAAAAATGATTGTGGTGATTCTTCAGATGAAAGTGACTGTGAACATTATACTTGCCTAAACACGCAGTTCAGGTAAGAATTTTGAATATTTATATTTGTTTGACTTTAACTTCTGTTAATTGAGGTTATTTACTATACCACTGTACGTTTTATCTGTTTTATAACAATAATGAGATTGAATGATAAAGAAATAAACTTAAAACATTATAAGAGCTATTTAACTATTAAGGAATGATCTGTTGGTGGCAAAACGGCATTGATAGGTAAGACCTTGGTTACGGTGAAGAGAAAAAGGCAAACTGCAATCTCACTTTCATCATGTTACTATAGTTAAATTTAAATAAAACGAAATTGATAACACTTAAAATATATGTCAAAAATGTTTTATATACGGAGTGTTGGACTTAAGACTGTAAACCATTAGGTATATTTTTAATATCTGTTCGATGTAAAAATTATTTTCAAAAATTGATGTTAATTCGATTTCACTTGTATGGAGAGATTAACTTATTGTCTTGAAACTGCGGTTGCCTGAAAAAAGTTGTGTTTGGTCTTTAACAGAACAACATGTACAGTTCGACAAAACTCATCTTGTCCGCGATATGCACAAATCAAGAAGAGTGCTCTCAATAGGAGTGACAAATACAGAAGGTTAATAGTAGGACAGGTACTTTCTGTGCAAAAACTTAAATACAGGGTGTCCCGAAATTAGGGGGCAATATTTCTACAGTGTGTTCTATGTCGAAAAAGATTACTTTTTCTTTTATATAAACGTGGCTTAAAAAATTCTTCCTAAGGAAGTTATAGCCACTTAAAGGGGCCCCTCTGATAATGTTTTTTTCTAATTAACTACGAAACCAGTTGAGATAAATTTATGAAATTTGGTAACTAGCTTAACTCTTACGTGCTTAGTCCGCTACTAAAAAGAAATTTACAAATTTTCATCACATACGTTCCAAATCTGGGGGGAAGGGGGTAAAATTTACCATAACTTTTTTTATGCTTTGACTTTTTTTACTTTTGACTGAAAACGATGAAATTTCTGAGTTTTTTTATTTAAAAAAGGTACTCTGTCCATATTGATAGCATGTTCCATTTTTGTGTAAAATCCGTTTAAATATAACGTTACATTATGTTAATCACCGGGAATCGAAATTGTCAATATTTTCTATCGTAGCGGGTTGTGAAGAATAAAAACGCGTTTGGTGTCATTTGTATTGACAGTTCAGTTATTTACTTTTTGCGAATTGTTATTTTCACAGGAATTTATTATTTTTAGTAGATTATTATTTGACTAAGTAAAAAAACAATTGAAATTATTAAATAGTAATACAATAAACTAATAAAAATAATTGAAAACCACACTATTAATAAAACTTATCTTTATATCAATAGGAATTTTTAGCCAAAAAGATTTCCATTTTGCTGAATACATTTTTCAGCTCGACATCGAATTGCCCGCATAGATCTCAAAACTTCAAAATTATTTTGTCTTATTTGCTTCGTAGCCAAATAAATCTTCTGTTGTAATTCTTCCAAAATATTTCTATCTGTAGCGTAAACTACAGCCTTCATCCTACCCCACAGAAAGTAATCTAGAGAATTTAGGTCTAGAGATCGAGGTGGCCATGGAATGGGGCCACCTCTACCTATCCACCTGCCAGGAAAATGAGATCGTTTAACCAATTTATGACATTATGGGTAAAGTGAGGTGGAGCCCCATGTTGTTATCGTGTAACGCTAAGTGTACGCTTAACGGTGTATCATCCAATGGTTCTTTTACATCATTTTGCAGAAAGCTTAAGTATCCTTCTGCATTCAGACAAATGGGAAACTGAATTAGTCCAAGTAGCTAGTCCTCTAAAATTCCTGTGCACACATTTATTGCAAATCTATTTTCAAAATTTGTGCGCCGTATTGCCCGTGGATTTTTCGTCTGACCAGAAATGGATATTATGAATATCTGCTATCACTAAATTCGTAAAATGTTCCATTTTCGACTGATAACAATTTGCAAAAAGTAAATAACTGTACTGCCAATGCAAATGACGCCAAACGCGTTTATCTTATTCAAAACCTGCGACAATAAAAAATATTGACAAATTCGATTCTCGATGATTAACACATGTAACATTGTTTTTAAACGTTTTTTACACAAAAATGGAACATTCTACTAATCTGAAACCAAGAATACCTTTTTTACTAAAAAACTGAAATTTTATACTTTTCAGTCAAAAGTCAAAAAAGTTGAAGCATAAAAAAGTTATGGTAAATTTTACCCCCTCCCCCCCAGATTTGGAATGTATGTGATTTCGTTTTAGAAGTGGACTAAGCACGTAAGAGTAAAGTTAGTTACCTAATTTCATAAATTTATCTCTACCGGTTTCGGAGTTATTTAGAAAAATCCATCATCAGAGTGGCTCCTTTAAGTGGTTATAACTTACTTAGGAAGAATTTTTGGACCCACATTTATATAAAGAAAAAGTAATTTTTTTCGACATAGAACATCCTGTAGAAATATTGCTCCCTAATTTCGGGACACCCTGTATATGAACTGTTGCTACTGCAATAACTCGCTCGAAGTTGATTTTGATCAAGTTGAATATAACACAATTTTTAAAATATTATTTAACTGTTATCACTTTGTCTTTATTACAGTCTAATTCAAATTTAATAATAATTATGTGACAAAGATGAAGAAAAATCAAACCTCAACAAGAAACAATTATGTTGCACCCTATATGCTGATATTCCATAATTTAATCCCTACATGGAATGGGATATAAGACAATATGAGTTTGTGCCACTTTCATGCGTCATACCTTCTCGCAAAGTTACATTTATCACTTTACACTTGCAGAGGGCGATTAGTTCAGTTTTGTGGTCATAAAAATTCCTGAATAGTGTGAATGAAGTAGTAGTACGATTTTTATTATAAACGTATTTTGTGTGTCTCCATCTATATAAATAATACGGTACTTTGTTAGAGGAAACAAGGTTTCAATTTTTTTTCTTAAATATCTGCTTTTTATCTTTTAGATGTGAAGGTAATGGTACTGTCACTCCAAGATGTATTCCATCGAAACTGAGATGCAACAAGCAGACAGACTGTCCCTTAGGTGAAGATGAAATGAACTGCCCCCCAGTTACATGCCCAACGAATCAATTCAAATGCAACAACGACAAATGTATACCTTCAGTTTGGGTATGTGATAAAGACAACGACTGTTCTGATAACTCCGACGAAGAACAGGACTGTGAGAATAGAACGTGTGGCGTTCAACATTTTCGTTGTAATTCAGGAAGGTGCATTCCTCACTCGTGGGTTTGTGACGGTGATCCTGATTGCTTATCAGGTGAAGATGAACCTAAAACCTGCAGCCATCCGGATTATCATACTTGTGAACCTAGCTATTTTAAGTGCAGGAATAACAGGTGCATACCAGGCAGGTGGAGATGTGATTATGAGAGTGACTGTGGTGACGGTTCAGATGAGGTTGATTGCGTTCCAAGGAATTGTTCCGAATCAGAATTTAGGTGTGGTAATGGAAAGTGTATTCGAGGAGGCATGAAGTGCGATGGGGAGTTTCAGTGCGAGGATCGATCGGATGAAGCAGATTGCATCGTGACCTGCAAAAAGAGCGAGTTTCAGTGTGCAAATCCTAAGATCTGCATATTCTTGTGAGTATATTAATCAATTTTATTATTAAATTAAAATACTTTTGTATTTTTGAGTGAATTAAAAAAGGGATTCGTTGTCTCTGTCATTATTAAACTTTTTGAAATAGATTGAAAATTCCTGTACTTACTAAAACATAAACTACAAAAATTTATTATTTTCTTTATATTAAATAAGAAGAAAATAACAATTTTATAAAGTTCAGGGTGGGTTGTGTCTTGCTTACCCAACTCCAAGATTTACGTCTCACAAGGAGAAGGTAAGGTAATGGGCATTTTGTAATTTTTTATATTTATGGTACGTGTAGTTTGGACCTTGAATAAGAATTTTCCGAAGTAGTTCGACGCAACGTTCTTAAATTATCGAGATAATCGATTTTGAAGTTTTACCTGCTAGCTAAATCCACTAGAAGTGACACATTTTTCAACTGGGAGCGTGGCCTAATTGGTAGCGTTCGAGTCCGACAGTCACGAGATCACTGGTTCGAGTCTCATCGCACAAATTATTTTTTTTTTTTCACTTCAAAGCACCGTTTTTTTTCTTTTTCTCATCTCGAAAATTATGAACAAACGAAATATTATAACTACTTACGTATATGTAGGAATATTCTTCAAGTGTTTCATTAAAATGCACAATTGGTTAATAAACAATATTTATTATGAATTAACAATAAGGTTTCTTTAAAAAAAAACAAACGAGGTCAGGTAGGATGTTCTTTTATTTTATATTTATGTTAGTATTTGACCATTTTACGTAGTGTGGCACGAGCCAGAATGGTAGTTATCATAGAAACATGGGAAGCAGAAATTTTTTAAGCACCTATAGCTGTCTTTCTTTTTCTTTTTCTTATCTCGAAAATTATGAACAAAGGAAGTATTATAATAACTGTATGTAGGAATATTCTTCAAGTATTTGATTAAAATTTTGAGATAGGTTGTGTGGGTCGTCCGCCGTGTTTAGAAGAACCGCTTACACAGCACACCTGCTCGGGCATAAAAAGTTTCTGTAAATTCCCCAGGGTAGGGAAGCTAGGGAGAAGGAATAGAAGGTTCGGCTATTTCTACAATGGCCTTTTGCAACTATTTCATCGCTCCTTTGTATTATTTCATCGCTGACTTTTGAAGCAGAAATAAGTGTTTTTCAGAGTGTGGTTATAAGAATTGTGCGAAACGTTAAAAAAAAGTGGTCGGATTTTCCTGGTCCTTCGACGGCACAAGAAAATATTATGGAAGATTCTTTGGGCCTTGGAATTTCAAAATCAAAGTTAAAGGATGCCGTTGTATATTATGATAAAATTCTCACGGAAAATGGTATTATAGAAGAAAAGCCTTCGCTGATAATAACTGAATGATCGATGCTACTCGCAAAGGACTTGTTCCAATATACTCTACAAACACTACAAGAAAAAAAGTTTGTAACGGAAGAGGTATTGGTATTATTTGACGAAGTAGATAAAGATAATGAATTCGAAACACCTGTATTCGAAGATTCATCCGAAGATTATGGGCCGGAAGAAAAAAAGTCAAAACCCTACACAGACTATATTTCGCTGGATAATAAAAGAAAAGTGATAATTATAACTCAAAAGGCATCCTGGCAACCAAGGGATCAAAAATGGTATTAATAAAGCAGCGAAATATCAATAAAATTACACACTCTTATACTGCACAATACTCCATTACCTTATCAGGAAAATTGTTGCCTTTGGTTTTTATATGTCTCCTAGAAACAACAGGATCATTTGGACCCAGGGTTCAGAAATCGGTGGACGGCTACCTCCAAAAATATCAAAATGTTGTCGTAACAGCTTCAAAATCGGGAAAGTGGATTCACTCATACCTTACTGCTTTCACAAAGACCGAATCGATTATCTCAGTAATTTATGAACGTTGCGTCGACCTTCTTCGAAAAATTCTTATTCAAGGTCCAAAACTACACGTACCATAATCAAAAATTACAAAAATCCGATTACCCTACCTTCTCCTTGTCAGTTGGTGATGAGTAAAATGTAATGATTTTATTAATTGAAATGTCATTATTTGGATGATTTCAATAACATTGTACCACAAAATAAGAAAAGGGCGATCTAGTTTATATTAGTTTATCCTATAGTGTTATTCATTTATATTCAGTAACAATTAGAGCTGCTTTTTTGAAATCAAGTCCAAAATTTTGCGAATTTTGAGTATATTTCAGCAATTTTTTAAGTACTTACATGTTAAATTTATCTCTTCAGGTTAAATCTAACAAAGCCTCATTAACTTCTCTTTCATTTTTGATTACTTATTAGTCTTATTACCAAAGTTAATCGAGAATCATTTTCAGTTCATCTCAATTGATTTATTTGGAAATATGTATCTATCAAATTACAAAAAATACAAATAATTCTGTGTTACAATATTATGTCAATAGATATGTTAATTCAAAATAATATCAAAATATAGGGCATGGAAATGTGATGGTGAGGTAGACTGTGCCGATGGATCTGACGAAGCAAATTGCACCGAAATATGTCCACAGAATGGATTCAAATGCCATAATGGATACTGCATCAATGAACAGTGGCGATGTGATGGCCAAAATGACTGTGAGGATGGTTCTGATGAAGTTAACTGTTTTTCAGTTGCTTGTCCGCTAGGAAGATTTAGATGTAAGAATCATAAATGTATTCCTATGAGTGCCCTTTGTGACGGTCATCGTCAGTGTACTGACGGCAGCGATGAAGACAAACATATCTGCAAGAGGTATGGTTTGTGTCCATATAACCAATTTTCTTGTAAAAATGGCCGCTGCATAGATAGCTCCTTAAAATGCAATGGCTTCAATGATTGCGAAGATAATACCGATGAGAATGATTGTAATACTTCGGCCTGTCAATGGAATACATGTACTCAAATCTGCGTCGAAGTAAGACAAAATCAAACAAGTTGTAAATGTGCTGAAGGATACAGACATATTGGCGAAGGACAATGTAAAGCTGAAGGTGATGCAGCGGAATTGGTTTTAGCAGCTGAAGCAGAACTCAGATTAATGTCTCCATACAAGTCTGGGGATGATGACAATAAGGTTAGAAAAACCCTGGCACGTGCACCAGGTTACAAAGTTGATGCTGTAGATATTTTATCCGGGAAGAGGCAAGCTGAAGCTTTTTGGACCGATCACCAAAATAAAAGAGTTCAGTCCATGGTCATTCATGTGGACAAAGATGGACGATCTAATAGAGACGCAGACATCGCCAAAACAATCCTTTCTAATTTACGAGATCCAAGAGGAGTTAGCATTGATTGGGTGGCAAAAAGAATTTATGTGACGGACGGAAATAGATTGCTCGCTTCCACTATGGATGGCCGTTATGTTTACACTCTAATAAGTACTAATGTACAACAACCAAGAGATATCGTTGTGGCACCTGCTCAAGGGCTCATGTTTTGGGCAGATTTGGGTCCTGCCCCCAGGATCGAGACTGCATATATGGATGGCTATAAAAGGAAAGTTCTAATTAGCAGTGGGATACTCTTCCCTACAGGTTTAGCCATTGACTACCCGACTAGCAGATTGTACTGGGCTGATCCTAAAACCATGACAATCGAATGTGTTCTACTAAATGGGTCTGATAGACGAATTATAAGGCATTTTGAAAAAGGTAATTGTCAATAAGTATAGGTTTTGCCATTTAAAATTCTCCATGTCCTTATTTTTTTAAAGATACTGAGCAATCGAGAACGAACTATCTGTTTATGGTTGTATGTTAACAATTTTAATATTAATTCTGAAACTTTCGAACGTATACTTTGTTTTTTGACTTCCCCCTTTTTTCTATATTGAGAGAATGCACAGGTCTCTCGCAATTTTAAAAAACCTTTTTGTGCTCAATTTTCCATCTGAAAAATGGCATTTCCAATAAAATACATACTGGATCATACATTGGAAACATTTCTACAATTATTATACAAAACAAATATTAACTAAGAAGAACCTTTATAATCGTGCACATATCATATAAACTGTTTAAAGTTAAAGGCAGGCGATGGGTGATAAAAATGCTGCTTTAATTTCTGCGTCACTCCTTCCCTCACACCGTAGTTTACTCACGTGTTGGCCGCCTCGTTGCCATGACAACCGCTGTAAACAACGCTACGAAGAGATGTGGAATACAGACTGATTTCGATCTGCGTCACTTACTTTACTATACACTGTATGGTACGAGGTTGATGATCACGCTCAACTAAGGCAATGTTTTTTTAGAAGCTGTTCACCACGCAACTGTTCTGTTTATTTCAGTGTATAAAACAAACAAACACAATACATTTTCAATATAGAATTATACCTAAATTGTAAAATTTATATAAAATTAAAAATAATTTTAAATTCCGCAACCAAACGGAAATTTTAGGTGAAGCGGTGCGTCACTTGCGTCACCTGGTGAGCCGACACTGTTGGAAGACAATTTCAAACAATTTGGGAAATAGTGGTCCTTAAAAAGTTGAAATTGAAATAGGAAAACCTGAAAATTTCATATAACTCTTTGGTTAAAACTTGGTATACATTGTGTATTAAATTAGTTCTTAACAAATTTCTATAAATTTTCATGAATCGCTTTTTGTCTTAATCACTTAAAATTGAATCAATAATAGGAAAGTCTTAAAAAAATTTGCAAATATATACCTCCATTACTTTTTTATTTAATTGGGTATTTCTGCCACATTGGAAAGAAAAATAAATAATGCCTTGTACTATGAGGTTGACTTTATAAACTTAGTTTTGCGTAACACAAATATCACACTGAAAAAACAGATCATTTTCAAAATCGACCCCTTGATTAATATTTTTGACATTTATTTAGTATATTTTTCTTTTCAGTGTTCCACAAATAATTAAAAAAATTATTATAGGTAATATATCTCGATTGTTTTAGTATCTTGCCGACCCTGTGTAAGAAATAGTTATAATTATGTTATAATGTATAATTTATCTTTTTCCTGCAGATATAAAACCGTATAAAATAGAGGTATTTGAAGATAATATTTTCTTCTCAACATATCTCAAGCATGACATCATTCGACTCAATAAATTTGGAAATGGCGATATTAAGTATTTGGCACAAAGTTTAACAAAAATCTCGGACATACTAGTGTTACATGAAAAGAAACAGTTAAACATCAACAATACTTGTGACGATTTTTGTAATAACAGTGAATTTTGCTTATTAACACCGAAAACAGCAACATGTACATGTGCTGATGGCTTTATGAAGGATAAGCTGGTAAGACTATAAATAGAACTTAAAATACAGTACAGTAGAACCCCGATTATCTGTGGGCGACTGATCTGTGCGGAGGATCCTTCGTGCGCTGCAATGTTTATGATTATCCGCTATCCTTCTGTGGATTATCCGTGGTGGGGCGAAAAAAGCGCTCAGAAACAAAAACAAAGACGAGTCTCTGCTTGTTTGTCGCATACATATTATTTATCTACATATGTACAAATGTATGTAATAGGTATGTGTAATAAAGTTCATAATTTTTTGCAAAATTGGTGTGAGCATTATTATTTCGATTAACCGTATTTTCGATTATCCAGCAATGGTTCGGTCCCGCCCGGCCCGGATAATTGAGGTTCTATTAAAATTAAGTAAACGTAAGTGAAATAGGAAAAGTACAGGGTACAATTTTAGTTTCTAGTTCAATATATAAATGACATGATGCCATTTAAGTTATAATTATAATAATTTTAACTGATAAGAATAATTGTTGATTTTAGGTACAACTTTTTCATTATTCCTTATCAATTTTTTTTTATTTAATGTTCTCTGAAAGTGCTTATTTTGCAGTATCTTCAATCTTCAATGTTATATTTCTTCAATGTTACCATAAATACCATATAACTCCGTNATCAATTTTTTTTTATTTAATGTTCTCTGAAAGTCCTTATTTTGCAATATCTTCAATCATCAATGTTATATTTCTTCAATGTTACCATAAATACCATATAACTCCGTTACTATCTAGTTCTAAAATAGTCAAGCGTGAAACCCATACATTTATGTATTATACAGGGTGTTTTTAAATGAAGTAGCAAAAATGGTACCAGCGAATGTAGAGTCAAAAATAAGAGGATTGAAGTAAAAATACCTTATATGAAACTTGCACCCCTGAGGCGATATACCCTCTTAAAGGAGGGGATTGAAATTCACATTTTAATTTTTTTCTTTAACATGAGGAATGCTAGAGACACGAAACTTGGTATGAGCATCCTACTAATAAAAACACAACTTTTCAATATTTGTTCAATCATTGGTGTATTTTATAAAGGAGTGAAACAGTCAACCCCATTGCAATATTTTATTAGAAATTTTTTATATGAAGTAAATTATTTATTTAAAAATATTTATTGGGAAGACTGATTTATTGCGCAACTTTTTTACCTCTTGTAATTTTTCGATAAAACCGATAGTTTTCTATTAAAAAAATTAGATACGTCATCATTGATTAAGGGATAATTGCAAAAATTTTTTAAAATAAAGTAGGTGGATGTCAACAAATAAATTGTTATTTATCATATTAATAAATTGACACTTTCTGTCACAAAGCTGGTAATTTAATAATCACATTAAGAATAATTTGCTATTAATTAATGAAAAATGTTTGATAACTTATGACTATGGGACATGTATTAGGTAAAGTGACTTATCTGAAATAAAATTTGATACAAACGAAAAACAAGAAATGTAAAATTAAATTTAAAGAATAATCTCGAAATAATTTTCATTTTGCTGCAAGCATAACCTAATACTTCTGTTGAAGTTATAATGCACTTGCACAAACAGTTCTTGGGTATTGCGAAGGTCATCTGCTGCCTGAAATATTCTTAAGCGTAGTTCTTCTGAGGCAACAGGAGTGGCATAAACAGTACTTTTTATGTGTCCCCACAAAAAGAAATCCATAGGCGTTAGGTCAGGTGAACGTACCCGGCCGCTCCAAGCCTGTGTGGAAGAATAAAAGGACCTACTAGAGTATTTCCTACAATTCCCATCGAAACGTTTAAACTGATATTATGTTGACATCTTGAAACAAATATTTCATGAGTATTTTCTTCCGACCATGAATAAACATTATGAATGTTTACTGCACCTACTATAGGAAAATTTGCTTCATCGGTGAAAAGTATATTCATTACGAAATTTAAGTCGTGCCTGGAAATATTAATGTACCATTGACAAAAATCCACGCTGTTAGGTAAATCAGGGTCATTCAATTCTTGTACAGGTTGATGGTGAAAAGGGTATAAAAGATTTTTATGAGCTACATTCCACACAAGACTATGAGAAACTTGCAGTTGTCTAAACAGCTGTCTTGTGCTTGTACCACAGTCTTGTTTAGATATTCCGGTATAGCTTCCTCAGTTTCAACAGTTCGGACATTACGCCTTCTTCCGGCACCCTCACGATTGGGCTGAATTTTACCAATTTCACGAAGCCCTCTTTCCACCGACGCCAATGTTTGTCTATGAGGAATCGATCGGTTTGGATATCTTTGGTGGTATAATCTTACTGCAGCGTTACTATTTTTTCTGGATTCGAAAAACACTTGGAGCATGTCGACATATTTGTCATTGGTATAAATATTATTTGCCATAATTATTCTTATAATTAATTAATCAATTGGTACTAATTACTAATTAATTATAGTTGATAGAAAGTGTCAATTTATTAATGTGATAAATAACAATTTATTTGTTATGACATCCGCCTAGTTTATTTTTATAAATTTATGCAATTACCCCTTTAGTGAACGATGACGCATCTAATTTTTTTACTAGAAAACTCGGTTTTATCGAAAAATTACAAGAGGTAAAAAAGTTGCGCAATAAATCAGTCTTCCCAATAAATATTTTTAAATAAATAATTTGCTTCATATAAAAAATTTCTAATAAAATATTGCAATGGGGTTGACTGTTTCACTCCTTTATAAAATACGCCAATGATTGAACAAATATTGAAAAGTTGTGTCTTTATTAGTAGGATGCTCATACCAAGTTTCGTGTCTCTAACATTCCTCATGTTAAAGAAAAAAATTAAAATGTGGATTTCAATCCCTTCCTTTAAGAGGGTATATCGCTTCAGGGGTGCAACTTTCATGTAAGGTATTTTTACTTCAATCCTCTTATTTTTGGCTCTACATTCACTGGTACCATTTTTGCTACTTCATTTAAAAACACCCTGTATTATAGACCGATGAGTCTGTTAACGTTTTTTTTTTAATTTTTGAATCTGTTATGGTCTCTAGATAATATTGCTTTGTCAATGATATAATGCAAAGTTTTAAGACGGTGATCTTATCTGTAACATTTTTCTTGATGTTTGCAGGGTTTTTTACTGTCATCATGACTTAATTTTACAAGAATCAATAGCTATGGTATTTGAGATAACATGTATGTTTGGCTTTGTCATAATTTTTGTAAATGACTAAAAATATAATCTCAAATGAGCATAACCAATTAACTATGTAGATACTACAAATTTATTAATAAAAGTATCAATTTTGCTACAACACATTTATATTTGTATATTTTTTTAGACCTGCAAAGCAGCTTCAAATAAAACGATGGGTTGTACATTAAACTGCAATACAGGATCGTGTGCAATAATTCAGGGTCAAGGACCTAAATGTATTTGTCCTCCAGCATACACCGGTTCTCGCTGTGAGCAGTATCGTTGCTCCCAATACTGTAAGAATCACGGCATGTGCTACATAGACATCCATGCCAGTAAATTGCCAGATGCTCAACCACCCCTGAAATGTGTTTGTCCTCCACAGTTTACAGGAGAACGATGTGAAACTCCCTTCGATATGTGTGAAAATCGGTGTTATAATGGAGGCTCGTGTAAGATATTGGCAAACGGTATGCCTCACTGTTTCTGTCAACCTATGTACAAAGGAGTGAGATGTCAGAATTGCTTCAAGTTGCAATGTGAAAATGGTGGAGTATGTTCTCTTGAGCCGTCTCTTAACGGCTTTAAGGAAATGTGTTCTTGTCCTTTGGGATACAAAGGATCTAGTTGTGAAATTTCACCTTGTGGAAAATATGGAAAACCTATTTTTGCAGATAATAATTTTAGGTGTGCATGTTTGCCAGGTTATTCCGGAGATAAATGTGAACGAGATATGTGTTGGCAACACTGTCAGAATGGAGGCACTTGTGTTGTTGGAATAAAACAACCGGAATGCATATGTCCTAAAAATTTTTCTGGTAGACGGTGTGAGAACTATCCGAACAAAACTAAATGCTCTTGTCAAAATGGGGGAGACTGCGTAGTAGTGAATGAAAAGACTGTCTGTAAATGTCCAGATCAGTGGGGTGGATATAACTGTGAGGTAAGTTAAAGTTCATACATATTGAGAGTAGAATAAAAATTTCTGTATGCATAAATACCAGGGCCGCAGGAATTTGGATTTTTTATTTTTTTAATAAACAACTTAAAATCAAACAATCTTCGTCTAATTTCTTAAGTTTTACAATACCGCCTAGGAATTTAAAATTTCACATTAACTTAAAACATTAAAATAAAACAATGTAATTTGAATGTAATGCAAAAACGCTTGTGCGAAAACTCCCACAAAGACAATATCCGCGGGCGTTAAGAAGCGACCAGCCACAGTTTCCTAGCCTGTGTTTACTTTGTGAATTTTTGTGTATTATTATTATTTAGAAATTAAAGTTGTGTTGTTTTTTTGTTGTTTTTATTTCAATTCTGTTGGTTTTCTTTCTAATAAAACTGGAGTATATTTTTGTAATTGTTTTATTTGTAATAATCACAAAACATGAGCGACCATTAGACATGCTCCATTTTGATACACACGCATATATTAGCAACAGAACCATAGAACATAGAATAATAGAAAACGACTAAAGATTAATATTCTATCAGTGATACCAACATATTAATCCAAAACTAACAAATTCTAGACTAGTAAATTGACTTTTTGACCCCCTCTACATTTTTTTCTGGCGGCGGCCCTGACAAATACAGTGCGGAACAGACAAATGGAATCAATTCATTATCTCAGTAATTATTGTTCATATTTATAAAAAATTTTGAGACACGTCAATTTTGAATTCTGAAATGACATCCTGTATAGTAAAAATTTCTTCCCTAAATTCAACCTCTTTCGAGTGGCAGTTGCAACCCCTAAATTTTTAAATGGTAAGTAGGGGCTAGTGATATTTGATTTGAAAGGTCTTTTCATTTTCTATTCAAAAATGCTATGGTTTTAATATTTATTGCAAAATTGACAGTCTGCTTAACGTAATTTGTAACAACAAACAAAAACATAAAAACTTGCAGCGTTTTGTCTTACAGGCTAGCAAAAATAATTTCACTGTTCTTTTTCAACATTATTGACTAAATAGAATACATAAAAACTTTTCTTCATAGCTGGCATTGCCTAGCTACTTGCTATTTAATTGATAGGAATAAATAATTGTCAATGTTTTGCGTATTGTTTGATGCTTGTAGTTCCTAAACTAGGTTTATTTTAACATAAATGAATAACATTCCTCAATTATTTCCATATTAAAAGAAAATAAAATGCATCCTTATAATCTGATCTTAACTCAGGAGCTTACCACTTTCAGGCGGCGCTTGCAGGATTGTCCGTTTGCAGCTGCAAACCATACATAAACTTTGACGGATACGTACGGCTCCCGCCGTGAACGGTATATCTACAATTATTATTTTATTAACTTAACATATTTTATGAATTTGCTGAGAGTATCAATTACAAGACATTAATAAGATAAACTAGATTTGTATTTAGCAAACATAAGATATAAATATATAAAATGTTAATGAAAAACGACACATTGAAAACTAAAACAAAATGAGAATATTTCAGAATAAACTAAAACATAAAATTTAACAAAATAGTTATAGGTAAGTATAAATTGTGATTATTTTAAACATATAAAAATAAAACTAAAATTTTATCACTGTATGGTAACGTTCAAAGCAACCAAGAACACACAGTGGCACATCACATTGGACGGAAATCTGGAAATCCAATAGCGGCAGTTTCTTTTCAGATTTCATTAGATAAACAGCATTAGTGTTTAGGACAGCCCAGTCCATAAGGTGAAAAAACACCTTTTTGTACCACAACTGATTTTCGAATAGATTCAATAGAACTTAGCGACATATCTACGCGATCCACACCACCCATCTGTTTTAATCTATGATATACGCTGGCTTTTCTCTATTTTCATTTTCGTAGGAAGGGACAACTTAATGTCAGTGGAAAAATCTTGCACTGTTCCTTTTGTCGATTTTTTCTTGAATGCAGGCATAAACTGTCGAGTAGCTCTTACTGTCCCACAACAATTAGTTTTCTTGCCAAACATGGTGTTATATAATAAGGAACTAGTATACCAGTTATCGGTATACAGTCTGTGTCCTTTATTCCAATATGGCTCGGTCAATGTCAGTACAATATTTCCCGACTTTCCCACTTTTGAATCAAATTCTGTCACTGATGTTGAAGATCCGGTATATGAAATCCAAAATATATCCCGTCTCACAGTCCACTTACACGAAAAATTTTATTCCAAATCTGACTTTTTGACGGGATATATGTTGTCTAAACGAGATTCTTCCTTTAAATAACATTAGACTTTCATTAATTACTAAATTTTGAAAGGGATACAGAGAACTTTTGGAAACTGTTTTGAAGTGGTCTACAATGCATCTAATTTTTAATAAGCTATTGTTTTTATTGAGATTTCTATTATCTCTAGACATGACTTGGCTGAAAACTGGTGTTTCGATGATTAATTCTTTTGACCAATAGTCTTTGATCCTTTGTTTTTTCACCAAAGGCATTAGAAAGCAAAGGGCTAGAAACGTATATAACTCATCTACATCTACAGGATTAAATTTTTTAACGCTGGGTTTTTATTTACCATAAAGAGGAACCACATGCAACAAGGCGCGCTTTATATTTTGATGGATTTCCGTGTTCATCATGCTTTAATGTGAATATCCATTTACAACCAACAATATTTTTATTACTTGGTTTTTCAACTGAAGTCCAAGTGCATTTGTTTCTTCAACAATTTACTCTAGAAAACTTTTGGTTATAAAATACACAAATATGTCCAGAACCGATGGGTTGTCCCCTAAATTACCAATTTGGCAACCAGAATACAGTTCCATACGGAGCACCACCTACACTAGTGAATCAATGTCTTGTAATACCTAGCCTTAACATTTCCAAACTGGTGGAAAGGAAGGTGAGAATTGCTAGAATGGCCAGCAAGTTCTTCTGCTCTTGCATCTTTAGATTTCTTTCTATGGGGATATGTGAAATGTATGGCATACAAAATTAAGCCAAGCAGATGAATTCATTTTTTTACTGCTAATTTTTGCAATAATTATGAAAACAATAGTATTTTTGAGTAATGATTGAAAAGACCTTTCAAATGAGGTGGCACAAACCACTTAGTAATTAAATTTAAGAATAAAATTTTTATACTACATGATGTCATTTCAGATTCCAAAATCGACGTGTCTCGGGATTTTTTACAAATATGCACAATACATAATTGAGATCCAGGGAGGGGGGTTTATTAACCTTTTTCAAGATACTGTAATTCAGTACTAGTTGGGACATGTAGCCCATAGAGTAGTTGTTCCCTGCAATATTATGATTTAAGAATGTTGCCTGTGAGGTTAGATACCTTTTGCATACCTTGATTTTTGGTATCGAAGAACATTATTTGATAGGATTTTTGAATTTTTTAAAATTTATTTGAATTTACCTAATACTTTTTGTACATTAGAGACCTAGAAAATGATGTTTTGTTTTTCAGAAAAGTATTAGAAATTCCAATCCTTGCAAAAATTTGTGCCAAAATGGTGGGGTATGTGTCTTACCATCCGTAGAAAAAGATCCCATTTGTTATTGTCGGGACTCTTGGACAGGTGCAACGTGTAATCAGCCAGCAAGTTGCAGGAATTTTTGTAAAAATGGCGGCATTTGTGCTGTTAGCGATGGAATACCTTATTGTCAGTGTCCTGAAGATTACGAAGGTAACAAATGTGAGCAGTTCAGAAAATTTGAAATTCACGAACTCAAAAAGGAGCCAAGTAGAAGTATGTTGATTCCTATTTTGTCGGCGGTTGCAGTTATTCTAACTGTGTTGATTGTTGGATATTTCTTATTCGATTACTTCCTTAGAAGGCGCGCGACATTTTCACATGAAAGGTTGCACGAAAACGATTTTAATAACCCCATTTACCAGGAAAGAGATGCAGAACCCTTTACTTTAGACACTGATAAGGTGAGTTGTATAATGTGACCTTTTTATTTTCAATTATTTTTAGAGAAGTCATGGATGTATTAATTTAAAAAAGAATCTGGTGGTGGGTTATACCCTGCTGACATAACCACAAAGTGTTACAAGCCATGAATATATTTCAGTAACACATCAACAAACTGTTAAAATAAGCATTTAAGCTGTAATTAAGTTCTTTACTTTATAACGCCAATGTAATTTACTAACACTCAGTTGTAATAAACAAAGCATCAATTTGTTTGTGAAAAGAGATTTCCTTAAGATTTTGGGAGTCTATTCAAATTCAATTCATATTCATTTGCAATTTGACCATTTTTCTGAAATCTTAGTGTCCTCCTGAGATTAATCTAACGCAGCCTCATTAACTTTTTTATGATTTTTGATTATTGAGATATAAGCTACGAAAGTTTGTTGCAGGACTCATTTTGAGGGTCAATATCCAGAGTGTTCTCACCATTGCAGTTCTAAAGTGACAAAGCTTATTTATATTTTATTTTTGTTAGATGCAATGCAATTTTTTCTCTTAATTTTAATTGATTCATTCACTTAATGTGTTCGTTACATCTCAGTTACTGGGATGACACTTTTCCACACCAGATTTTATTCTATTTAATTCATATAATAAAAACAATTACAGTATCGATTAACTTAATAACTTTAAAGAACATATTTTCAGTCAGGAACTTTTGCTAATCCAGTCTATGAATCAGTATACAACGCTGCTGGAAGTGGGAAAGACGAAAAAGCTGTTCTTCTAGAACACAGTGCAGACGATCCTCCACCTCCAGCAATAGAAGAAACTTAGTTTTATTAAATTGTTATAATTTTATCAATTAATGTACGATACACACATGGGAAGAAAATGGTCCTATGATTTCCATTAAAAAAAGTTTCAAACTACATCACTTTTTAAAATTTAATTTAAGGTCTGTGAGTGAACCGTACAAGTATAAAAACCAGGGGCAGATTCAGGCCCCACTACTTAACATATGCATATCGAGGGGGTAACGACGTTACCAAAAAATTTACATTTATTGCAGATATCCCGTGATTTCCGAGGTTTTTGCTGCAATCACTAAAATTGCCAGCAATTGCTTTAAAATGATTGCAAATAGGTTTTTTATAGAAACCCCTATTTTTTTTTGTTTCGTATAAATTTTATTTTTATTTTTTTTAAATAATTGACAATAAATTCATGCCATCCTGTACACATGATATTTAGTTAAACAATTCATAACAGGAATAAAAAATTGACAAGTCAGAGCGTTTTTCTAAGAAAAAAAATGTATATGTATGTCCTAGTATATGTACACACAGTGTGTTCAAATTTAATCCGGGACACTCTTGTAAAATTTTACCGAACTGAATGATTTCAGTTAATTATTTATTTTTTTTATAGAACTCCCTTATGTGTTTAGCGAATGTGTTGTACTATGATTTTTGTTCCAAGTCACTTTTCGAGTAATCATATTAGCTATTTTTTTTATCAAAAATCTGATAATGTAGCATTGTTTCACATTCTCTAAAACCCGAAAACTCAAACGATATCCTACAAAATATACATGTTTTGCGGCGAGTTATTTCCCTCTCGATTTGTACAAAGAAATGAAACACTAAATATCCTAAATACTAATGAACATAAATAATAATACCTTTTAATTGGCAAAGGACCCCTCAACTATCCTTATGGAAAACCGGTCCCGGTTGAATTGTACGAAACCTTGTTGAATCATAGTCCTCAATGTGTCGATCAAAAAAGTCCATGGGACCTAGGTCTGAAAAACTACTGTTCTGAAGTTTTCGAATTCACGTGCTCAATCACTACGAGCAAGTAACCAAGCTGGCTGTTTCTTGATGTATTTTCGTGTGCCGAATGCGGATCCGTGGTCAAATTAGCTGTATCATCCTTCAGTCTTCAGAAAATTGGTGACGCACCTACTGAAGAATGGCGATAGTGACACGTATTGCTTGAGCGACATCTTATGTTTTTACGCATGCTGATCACTTATCCGTCATCAGCATATTTGCAGCATTCCTCAGTCTTCAGAAAATAGCTGAAGCACCTTCAGAAAATTTGACTGATCATCAAGCACGTGGATTCGAGAACTTCAGAAAGCTGTAGCTTCAGAACAGTAATTTTTCAGACCTAGGTTCCATGGACTTTTTTGATCAACACATTGAGGACTATCATTCGGCAAAGTTTCGTACCTTTCGACTGGGACCGGTTTTCCATAAGGATAGTTGAGGGGTCCTTTTGTAATATTTAAAACAAAAATGGAATAAACATTCTAGATTTACAGAAAATTAGGACTATTCTAGATGGCCAGGAAATAAACTTTTAAGCTGGTTCTTAAAAATTAATTTGTTCAGCATCCGTATTAAATTGTTTTTAATCTTTACTCTCAACATGTTAGCACATTTTCACTGTCCACGACAACATTACATGTTTTGTGTCTTCAAACTAGATTTCGTGAAATTCTTTCATATACCTTTCCACAATAATATGTAAACCAAATTTAAAGACTATTAAATTAAATTATATATTAAGCCACGCCCATATTTATGCCATTTAACAAAATAATATTAAGATGGTGTATCGGTATCATCAAATAAGTGTGATATGATTCATGTCTGGGCATCGCCTTTGTTAACACTGGAAAGACGCGATAAATCTTGGAGAACTAAAACTTTACACTGATGTCACTTACTGACAGCTAGATATATAGTTATAAATAGTTGTTTCTTCAGTGTAGTCAAACGTAGGGGTGGGATTGGTGATGGCAAGTTGTATTTTAACCTTATTTATTTTTTAATTATTTATTTTTTAATTGTTTTTTTCCCAATTGTTTTGTTAAAACTGAGTTTCTGTGAAAAAGTCTTTTTATAATGTTGTATGGATACAAATTACGACTCTGGATTGTACGATTGATTGATGGACCTTAGTTATTATAATTAATTCATTAATAATATTTTTCTTCCTGGGTGTATCACCAATTGTTTTGTTAAAACTGAGTTTCTGTGAAAAAGTCTTTTTATAATGTTGTATGGATACAAATTACGACTCTGGAATGTACGATTGATTGATGGACCTTAGTTATTATAATTAATTCATTAATAATATTTTTCTTCCTGGGTGTATCATTATGACAAATTACAAATTTTTCTATTAATTGCTGTGAATTGTGCCATTTATATTAATTGGGCGGCTGTATATTTATAGGTGTTTACTACTTCTTCTTCATTTTCTTATTGCCCAGTAAAAGTTTCTATGAATCTGCCCTGGCAGGTTACGAAAACGTCCCTGTGTATATACAATAATTAATTGACTGATATTAAATGAATTATATTTTTTACTAATAAGGTTATTTAACCATTTTTTAAGCTTTTAGTTGATAAAATATATGGTTGTGTATGATTGTCTTGCAATTCCAAGGCAGCTTACATGGTTGTTTCTAAATATATTTGTGTGATGAATACTCGAATGTCTTTGCTAAAGCTGCTCAATAATATTTTAAAAGTAAATTAAGTTTTATAAATTATTTACTGTTGGCATTACAATATTTGTGATAAAATTTCTTGAAACGAATGATTTTTATATCCGTTTTTTTTACAGCTTTTTGAACAATTTTTTTTGGGTTATTCCAAACAAGTGTTTGTAGTGCCAACAATTATGAAAGTTTGTTGAGGCTGGAGATTAATTAATGATAAAATATTAAACAAAAATTATATAACCTCCTTAAAAGGTGTATTTGTTCGAGAGTATCTTAAATTGAATGAAATTTTTAATATGTCACTATATAATTCAAATGACAAAATTGGAAAAATATGATATACATAGTATGAATTTTTTAGACTTTCTATAATTTCAAAAACTTCAACCTTAACAAACTTATGCTCTCTTTACAAGTGTTAGTTACAATTTTAGATAAGTATGTATTTGTATTTTTTTTATATTTATGTAAAAATTGAGAAATATATGTTAAAATTATTATCTATTTACTTTCAAGTACTTACCTCAAATTCAAAACTTCATTATACTCTGCGGTCGAAATTATAGAGAGTGACTCATCGCTAGCTTTTGGCCTAGTAAGGGGGATGAAGCTTGCCGGGGACGAAAATCCATTGGCGTGTCTGCGTAAAAGGCTACAAGATATAGAAAATATTGAGAAAAGGTAATAAAACAACATCTAATATATTTTTACGGTTTGCTATAACCAGCACTTTGATCCATTTTAATTTTTACAGCATTTTAAAATGTCCCAGTTGTGTTTTTTAATTTATAAATTTATTATAGCCATGAAATTACTTATTACGCTTATGCTATGACATTTCTCAGGACGAGTAAATCGAGTCTGTTTACACCCACTAAAAAAGCATTTCCCTATTCCCTACCAAGTGCAAAAGACAGAGATAGAATATAGATCGACATTCAGTGTAACTCAATCTATAGACGATTATAGATTCTATCGATGTGCGTAGCGAGCGGCACAAAGATAAATAATATTGAACCGTATAAAAATCATTTTATATTTTATACGCATTATGGTAATAGTGTTTTTATATTATGTCTGAGTCACTCTCTATAATTTCGACCGCAGAGTATAGTTTAACAGCCTGTCAGGTTCATTTTTTCAAGAGCCTAATAGTTACCTACCTTATTTTCTCCCATAACACTTCTGTCAACAGTGTACAAAATAAATTGTGGAGTTAAAAATAACCATAGTGTTTGTACATCCTTTACACTTTTGTGCAAATTGGGAAGATGGAGCCCTTATACTAACATAGACAGGGTTGAGCAATTTCAACACTTAGGGGTTTTTCTATTTTCAGAAAAAATAGGAAAAACAACAAAGATGAAAATCATATTCTGATATCTTAATTCTATTAAGAGATGCAGGGCATATTTCAATTTTTAGCTGTGTTGTACAGAGAAATCCAGAATGATTCAAGTGTTTGGAGATCGCAGCCTGTGCCTGTCTCTGTCAATACTATAGAACAGAATACAGATTTTTATATGCTAAAGATGGTGTTAGAAACAAGCTGCATTCCCTAAACGCTTCAACCATTCTGGATCTCTTGGTACAATGCTTTATTTTTTTTTCTGTTTTATTTATTTTTTGCACAGAGACATATGTGATATTTTGCTGTGATTTCCAGTGTTTTAATTACAATACAAACTTATGGTATTTTTTTTTTAATGGAACACCATAATTTCAATAAGAAATTTTCTTTACAGTGGTATCACAATATTAACTAAAATTTTTCAAAGTACCCATACCTAAACCAAAAATTATTATTTTGTAACAACAGTATTTTAAGTTCAGTACAGTTTCTTTTCCGTCGATACATCAAATATGTCCATAATAAAAAAAAAGAAAAATTATTTTTGTTGTTTATTTGAAAAAAAAAAGTAAATATGTATTATGCAATAGGTATTTGAACAAAAATTTTAGACATTCCGAAAATAAAAAATATATAGAACCTTCTCTTAAAAAAATGGAAGTGTGTGTAGTAACCTAAAAATCGTGTGTTATAGAAAAATATACAGGGTGTTTCTTAATAACGTGCTAATATTTAAGGAGGTTATTCTTGGGTCCATGTTAAGAAAAAAACTTCATATGAACATATGTCCTAAAAGTCTTAACTTTTGAACTACAGAGTCTAAAGTTTTATGAAAAAACATTTTTTTATGATAACTTTGGTATTACTCTAGGTATTTTTTCAAATTTGGTACATGCCTACTATTCATCGAGATGCATTTTCTAATGTACAAACAATTTTATTATTTTTACCAGTGGCGTCTGTACAGGTTTTGTATTGAATATTTTTGAAGAAAAATATGTTACGGCAGGGTAATTTTCTTTTACCATTCCAAAATGTATGTAGATTACTGTAATTTCATAATTTCAATGTTTAACAGTTATTATCTTAAAAATAAGATGCAAATGAATGAATTTTATTTTTTTATGCGAAAACTGTACGTCAAACGAAAAAAAATTGAAGATACCACATTTGCTCGGAAAGGAATGAGGATTTCAAAAATGATTTTTACTTTAAGAAAAAGCAGTGGCATAACATATTTTTCTTCAAAAATATTCAATACCTGTACAGACGCCAGTGGCAAAAATAATAAAATTGTTTGTACATCAGAAAATTCATCTCGATGAATAGAAGGCGTGTACCAATTTTGAAAATATTTCTAGGGTAGGTAATACCAAAGTTATCATAAAAAAATGTTTTTTCATTCAAAAGTTAAGATTTTTAGGACACATGTTCATATGAAGTTTTTTTCTTAAAATGGACCCAAGAATAACCTTGAATATTAGCACATTATTAAGAAACACCCTGTATACATACATCACTAAATTTTAGAAAAAACTGTAGTAAACCTTTTTACAATACAAAATGGCCAAAATTTAAAAGTGCTCTGTATCTTTAAATTAATTAACATATCAATATATTTTTTAAACATTCAACTTTTCTCAAATATTAGTGGGACAAAAATAAAACAAATTTTATTTTCCAACCAATACCAACCACTTATCGGATAAAAAATTAGTGAACCTGTTAAAAAAAATTAAGAAAATATAATCAATCTATAGGCCCATTCAATTTCATAGATTTGATTATGTTGCCAAAACTGTTCAAGTTATGATATAAACTTAGAAAACACCCTATATATTATACCTTTATGCTTGATAGCATAATGTCGTGGATTTATATCAGGTCAGTTTTCTCTCTTTTGTCATAGTCCCACGATGGGCGCCAAACTCGGTCTGGTTAGCTTTCGGTGGAGTTGACCTAATCTCATCTCCCCTCAGCATATTGAGAGGGTTGTAAGAGCATGCCTGTCTGAGTCCATTTTCACCTGTGCTGAGACATTAGTCGGTCGTTCGCCGAGGAAGGGGTTCCCAGGTATGTCATACACTCCCCTTTTGACGTTAGCCTGGAACCTGGAACTGTCAAAGAAAGACGCGGATACTTACGCTCTTTCTCGATTGTGAACTTTGCTTTGGGTTGATGATTCATGGTCTAATTTACCCTAGTGTCTGAAAATCACTGTCTTTGTACTGGTTAGAAGAACTGTAATGTATGGCCTCCGTAGAGTACGTTAAGCGTTTAGAAACTTGAAAATATTGCAGCGTGAAAGCTGGACATGAGAGCGTTACGCTCGGTTTGGGTAATTTTTAGGAGAATTATAACTCGAAATGCAGTTTAAAAATTCATGAGCTTTATTGATTTTTTGTTAAAATAGTAATGCATATGTGACAACGTGGTGGTTGCGATTCAAATTCTTAACGACTTAAGAATTCGACAGATTTGTCGAATACACATTTTGGTCAGGCAGCTATGCTCTGGTTAGTTTCGATCGAGTTCACACTCTGGCCAGGTAACTATGTCCTGGTTAAATAACTGCAGGAACCCTGGGTTGGCGTTAGCACACTGGCTGGCGGGATTCCGCTAGATGCCCTGAAAACTGTGTCCTCGGCGAATACGGTCTCTGAGGAGTTGAGAATCTGAAACTAATTTGTGTTAATGCCGGCCTTAAAGTCTGTTAGGGATGCGAATTTGAAGTTCCCTGGATATTGATATTTTCGCCACTTTTTTGGAATGTGGGGCGAAAAACGTTGATGCTGTTGGCTCTCATCGACGGTCTCTCTCGGTCGCGCGGTTGTCTGCGTTTTTGTTGATGTCTCTGTGGCGATTCTGGCGGTAACCGCAACGTCTCAGGAGCTTTGCGAGAATTCTTGGAAAGATCAGTGAAAAATACGTAGCTGATGTTTTTAATGGCGAAGGGAACTAATGGGCTTATATTGTAAAAATATTGCAGCTATTCAAAACTTACCCGAGTTTTGAAGCACTCGCCCTGCATACTACGATAACTTACATACCTACTCAATTTTTTCATTCCCTATGTGATTGTATGAAGTGGATTAGTTTGTACTCACATACACCAATAAAACCCTGTTGTATTTCACCGCATTTTATTTACAAATTAATTTTCATATAACATTATTTACAAGTAATGCAGACCCTTCTTTTATCAAATAGGTACATATTTTTTTAATTGCAATAAATTATGTGATACAGAGCTCTGTAAAAATATCATACATTCGAATGCATAATAGGTTATTTCTAAAATTAATAACATCTACAAATTAGTGACAAATTTTTAACAAATTGTACAGTAACATATTACAATAGATATAATTACATATGGTACATTGTTAGTATATTTATAGTTAATTGATGTTCACCCTAACCTATTTTTTACTTCACCTTTTAAGTTTTTAAAGTCGAAATGGAGTTACTGGCAATTAAATTAATATAAGTAATGCAATCAGTATGATAAAGATTTATAAAAATTAATCAATAAATAATTTCATTTTACTTAAGAAAAAAATAAGGTCAGGAAACTGGAAATTTTGAATTTCTGATTGATACTTTCTTAATATTTTTATAAATTTTCTTCAATAGATGGAGGTTACTCAACTTATTTTATGAGATATTCACTTTTTCTCAAATGTATAGTCACTTTTTTCAGTAAGTTACTCATTTTTAAATGAAGTCATTTAGCCATTAGTACAAAAAAACTAAGTGAGGCATTTTTCTATCGAAAAATTTTATTAATAAAATTTGTTTAAATCATTCAAAATGTTATGTTCAAAATTCAATTTTCTTAAAAAGTAAAATAATAAGAAGTCCCACTACATATTTTACAGAACATATAGTTAGTAGGAACAATTTTTATGTTCTATTTTTTTTAAATTAGTTTTTTTTACGTAGTAAAATTGTATACAGGGTGTAATTTTAAGTAGGGATCAGTTTTTTAGAGGTGATAGTACCTATAGGTGTTCCTCACAATACTAATTTGAAATAATTTTATTTTTTGAATCAAATAAATAGTTGTTTTATATTTTTAATAAATTTTTAAACTGCACTTAAACTTCTGTCTACCTCTATTGTACAGCTTCTGATCTCGGTCGTATAATATAGTATGTCCGCGGATTGAGTTTACAAGAGGACAAATGGACCAAAAAGTGAGATATGAAAAAAAGGCATTCTTGATAAAAGTTTTTGCTTGTTTAGAAAATACGAGTCACATGCCGAACTTCAATTTTGTTGTACAAGGTGGGTCAAAAACACAAAAATGTTATTTTGAGTAAAAGTGAACATACCTTATTTTGCAAGATACGAAAAAAATGCGTTCTTGATAAAAGTTTTGGCTTGAATAATGAATACGTTATCAAAAATTTAATTAAGTATTTTCTAGCACTTCTCTAATCAGAGTACCTAGAAATGCTGGATACATTTTTACCATTAAATTTTCGCCAGAAAATATATTTTTAACAGGATGGTGGTCTAGAACATTGTGCACGTGAGGTAAGAGAGTGGCTTAACCATAGATTTGGTCCAAGATGGATTGGTAAAAATGGTCCAATTTTGTGGCCCCTAAGGAGCTCTGACTAAAACCATGGCCGATATTTTTCTATGGGTACGTTTAAAACAAATTGTTTTTGCTACTCCAATACCAAATAATATTGAAATGTTAAAAGGCAGAATTACCCAGGCTGCCCGTTCAATATCCCAGGAAGAAATCAGACATTCCTTCAGATATTTAAGTAAGTAATTAGAAAAATGTGTTCAATACAGGGGTGGCATTTTTGAAATTTGATATCTTCATCACATTGCTTTGTTTACTCTTTTTAGCGTAATTGTTGTAAATATGTTCGTATTATATAAAAATTACACTTGAACAAGACGTATTTTAACTTTGTATTTTGTTCCCTGTATAAAAAATAAAATTTTTGTTAACGTGACACTTATTCATTTTTCAAGCAAAAACTTTTATCAAGAATGCGTTTTTTCGTATCTTTCACTTTTTGGTCCATTTGTCCTCTTGTAAACTCAATCCGCGGATATACTGAATATGTGTTTATGTGTCTATTTAAACCATTTGTATGAAACTAATGGAGTATCAGGGAACGAAATTGTTTTAGAATAAATTTTGTATAACTTTAATGTCACCATTTTTTTGGTCAATCTGAATGAAAGTGCTAGATATTAAAAAATGTTGGTGTTTTTAAAAAATTGATATTTTTTGCATCATTTATTATATATAAAATAAAAAAACTATTGTACATATTATTCTGTTTTAGATATTACAATAATTATATTGTTCAACAATATTTTTGTACAGGATACTGTTAAGTGTACCCCTTTTATAAAGATTTTATAGGTCGATACCCTTAAGGCGAGTTTCATTAACTATTATTTTTATTAAGTATCCAATTCTAACCGAATGAAATAATAACAGGAAGCAGGGACTGTCAATTGTGGCTCGGTGGATATTCANAAAAAAAGGCATTCTTGATAAAAGTTTTTGCTTGTTTAGAAAATATGAATCACATGCCGAACTTCAATTTTGTTGTACAAGGTGGGTCAAAAACACAAAAATGTTATTTTGAGTAAAAGTGAACATACCTTATTTTGCAAGATACGAAAAAAATGCGTTCTTGATAAAAGTTTTGGCTTGAATAATGAATACGTTATCAAAAATTTAATTAAGTATTTTCTAGCACTTCTCTAATCAGAGTACCTAGAAATGCTGGATACATTTTTACCATTAAATTTTCGCCAGAAAATATATTTTTAACAGGATGGTGGTCTAGCACATTGTGCACGTGAGGTAAGAGAGTGGCTTAACCATAGATTTGGTCCAAGATGGATTGGTAAAAATGGTCTAATTTTGTGGCCCCTAAGGGGCCCTGACTAAACCATGGCCGATATTTTTCTATAGGGCCGTTTAAAACAAATTGTTTATGCTACTCCAACACCAAATAATATTCAAATGTTAAAAGGCAGAATTACCCAGGCTGTCCATTCAATATCTCAGGAAGAAATCAGAAATTCTTTCAGATATCTAAGTAAGCAATTAGAAAAATGTGTTCAATACAGGGGTGACATTTTTGAAATTTGAAATCTTCATCACATTGCTTTGTTTACTCTTTTTAGCTTAATTGTTGTAATTATGTTCGTATTTAAAAAAAATGATATTTTTTGCATCATTTATTAAATATTAACTAAAAAAACTATTGTTTTAAAATAATTAATTAAGAATTAATGAATGTGTTTGTTTGTATTTTTTTTAAACATTATGTTTTGGTTTGTGAATATCTGTGTCAATGGCTTTTAATATTGATCCAGTCAGTTTAGGTGAACTACATAATACCAGTGCACCTGATGAGATATGATAACAGAGTGTTAGACAAGCAAAAAACAAACGGTCAACGTTAATGGTGAAACAAGAACGGCTGAATATGTCACCATTTATTTTATTAAATTTAGTTTTATCGGCTTTCAATGTGTGTATATAATAGGGTAGTAATTTTTCGACTTTTTGTGTCTAGTATCAAGAACTGTATGTGTGTATGTCTTCATTGTTAAATTTCTTATTTTCTTATGAAAAACATGTACTTATGCGAATCAAGAAAGATGACAACAGTGGGGTGTTTGCCTGTTTTTTAGATTTTAACAGACAATGAAATGATGCGAAAAAAACGTGCCTTGTAGTTTTTTATTTTTGTATGAAATCATTTCACTGAAAATGAAAAAAAAATAAAACTAAATATATTTGGCGGACAGTTGTAACATGCTAAACCTTGATTGCACCATCTATTAACAGGAAGTTCAACTAAAATCTTATACCATTGTACTTCTCTTTTTATTTAGTAATAAAGACACAGAGGAGTTACTTACAATTAAATAAGAAGTTTTCTATAATGACAACGTCCACAGTCTAGTACTTCACAATGGCAAAAAGTTTGAATTCAAATGTTTAAAATCAAATAAAAATTTATGGAAGGATTTTTAGCGAAATTGCTTATACAGTTCGTGTTAACTTTCATTGTAGAATAATATTAATGACGAAACGTCACACAATTTCTTTATGCAATCACATCAGTTTTAATGGAATTTGAGAAAACAAAGTTGATATGTGAAAGGTGAAAGGTAGTCTTGGGATCCTGTCAAAAATGCACCCTGTATATAAACTTTTTGAATGACTGTGAAGAATTTTTGTTAATAGAATGGTGCGGATATAAACTCTAATATGGTGACTATATGCTTGATCAAAATTTGATTTTAATAAGCTTCAATTTTAGATTAGAGATAAGTTTGAATTGAATGAGCAAAAAATAAAACAATAATGACAATTTATCTATGTTATAATATTTCTTTCTGTTTTGTAAATCACAAAATCTTGATAAACCTTTATTATACAGTTTGCTTTAAATGTTCAAAGAAAATTTAAAAATTGCACTTTTATATTACACCCTTACGTAAAGATTCCAAGTCTGCAATTACAAAAATAATTGCAAGAATGAATTCCTTCTTAAACAAATTCGTGGACTAGTTTGCCATTTGCATCTTCTTTATAAAAGTAAATAACAAACAACAAACAAACAAAAACAACAAATATAACAACGATTTCAAAACAAAGTGTCATTGGCGTTAACATGTGGTCAGGGTGGGGGTGGCATGAAATGAGAGAGTCGATGCATGAGGAGGGCCCCCCAGCACATGAGTAAGTTGGGGTGAAGGCGCTAGTTGCTCCCTCCAGTGTGTTAGGGGCTGGCAGGTAGACTATCGTCACTCTCCAGGTACGTCACATAACTATCAGTGCTATCTGGATGGGTCATGGCATCCGAAGGTGGTGCTCCAGGGCCACCGGGTCCCATGAGGCCTCCTGGGTGCGGCGCACCTGGTGACGGACCTATTGAAGGAGGCGGAAGGTCATACCCGTGCATCTGGAACAAATGGAACAATTTGTTAAACCTCATTTATATTTGAAAATGTTTACCAAATAAGTTGTTCAAGGTTCAAGAGAGAACTTAGTTAAAGAAATTAATTTGATTGGTAGGTTTCCGTTGCAGTTTCCAATGGTTGAATAATTTCCAGACACTATTGTCTAGAGACAGTCCATCTACTTTACTTCAAGGGTTCCTGTATAAATTTCAACTGATAGGTTGTCAGGTCAGTTTTTTTACATGCAGAATTTACGAAAAAGCCTCTGACTGGATAAATGATTCCATTGAAGCTATGTTTGTAGCCTACGACACATAAGAAACGCTCTACTCTAGACATTAGTTTTCCGGGTTCGTTGCCACAATCTTAGTTTAAACTTCTTGACGTTTCGAGAGAGATACATTGCTCTCTTCAGAACCAACAGAGCAGACATAGAACACATGATAGACTTAACTAATATTAGAATTCCGGTTAGAAAGATCCACTACCAAAATGAGACAGGACAATTACTAGAAGTCAGGTACCGCATTGCTATGCATAGGAAATATAAATATGAACCAGAAGACTTAATCTAAAGTTAGAATTTATTCTGAAGAAGAGAGAGATGTTTCTCAAAACGTCAATACAGTAGTAGTTAAGAAATTGTAATCATTGATTATCACAGCCACACAGAAAAAAAAATTGGGTATACTTTTTATGTGACATATATTTTTCGTAGTAATTTGGCCTCCTGAACTCGAATCTGGGGTCAGAATTGGCCCATCACGTCACAATTTTTTCCTAACCTCAAAAAACTTGTGAAAAATAGTGAAAATTGATGAAAATTTACTGGGAAAATTTGGAAAAAAATTTATTTCCACATCAAATAGTACATTTTTATGTAAAAGACTCTGCTGAATTCAAATCCGCTGTCAGAATTGAGCTAGAACGTGTGGTTTTTTTTCTAACCTCAAAAAACCGAGCAGGAATCGCTATTTTCAAATTCTGAGCGGATTTTGACCAGATTTTGTATAAAGGGGTTTTTTGGGTCGCTGATTACGAATATGAATTCACATTGTAAAAATTCAAGATGGCTGATCCAATATGGCGGGTGTACTTTTTTGAAATCCACCGATTTCAGTAAAATTTGGCATCATAAGGATTGCTGGTTGATCTCACCTTCATTAATCACACATCTGGAGCCAGATTTTCATAAATCAAGGTAAAATTTGTAGGCAGAGTCATAATTTTAGGCCGAGTAGGCGGCATTTTTTCGGCAAAGTCACATTTTTAGATTGAAGGCATAAGCAGATGCAGTGATGTGCTGTGTGGCAGTAATGTGTCCTTTTCCTTGAACTTTAAAATTATTAAGAAATAAAAGCATCTAAATGCCATAGGAAAACTGCATAGTAGTTAAAAAAATCTGATTGGAAAACCATAAGCCCATGCACGACTAAATAAATGAAAGAATAAAGTAGAAACTTTTTTGTCTTGCCCCATGGAAACAAGCACATCACACTACACATCATTACATGTGTAGAGTCCTTAAGTCATTTTTTTAAGCGAAGTCACATTTTTAGACGGAGTGGAATCTTTTACCTTGATTTATGAAAATCTGGCTCCAGATGTGTGATTAATGAAGCTGAGATCAACCCAGAAATCCTTATGATGCCAAATTTTACTGAAATCGGTGGATTTTAAAAAAGTACACCCGCCATATTGGATCAGCCATCTTGAATTTTTACAATGTGAATTCATATTCGTAATCAGCGACCCAAAAAACTCCTTTATACAAAATCTGGTCAAAATCCGCTCAGAATTTGAAAATAGCGATTCCCGCTCTGTTTTTTGAGGTTAGAAAAAAAACCACACGTTCTAGCTAAATTCTGACAGCGGATTTGAATTTAGCAGAGTCATTTACATAGAAATGTACTATTTGATGTGGGAATAAATTTTTTTCCAAATTTACCCAGTAAATTTTCATCAATTTTCACTATTTTTCACAAGTTTTTTGAGGTTAGGAAAAAATTGTGACGTGATGGGCCAATTCTGACCCCAGATTCGTGTTCAGGAGGCCAAATTACTACGAAAAATATATGTCGCATAAAAAGTATACCCAACTGTTTTTTTTTGTGTGGCTGTATTATTTTTGTAGTACCTGTTTATATGTTACAATAAATTAATCAATTTAATGCTACTAACTTAAAATAATAATAAATTGATATAAAATATTTTTTAAATGGTACACATCTGCGCGTGAATGTAATGTTCCTTTACAACACCGCATGTAATTATTATATTGCAATATTCTTGAAGAGTAAAAGTTGCTATTGTTACACTTCAGTCTGTGATTTTTTATTATTATCCTGCTCAGACTACTAACCTACATTTAAAATATTTCCGGGTTCTAATAAATCACCCCAAAATTATCTAGAACCAGCAAGTAGATTTGTAGTTCTTACTTCTTACCTGGTTAACAAGTTGCTGGAAGGCGGGTTGGTGTGGCTGTTCGAGATCTGAGTGGAGGGCGAAGTCGGAGAGCGCCTTCCAAGGCGGTTGGTACGCCTGCACTTCCAAGGGATGCACCCCTATGGGAGAATCATGACGTACCGGCGAGGAAGCCACCATGGGGATGCCTTGCATGGCACCGTAGCCCAGTTTCCGGCCATCCTGCGTATAATACTAGGTTATGTTAGATATAGGGGTGAGAAACTAAAAATTTGTACATATTTTGTAGGATATTAAACCAAAGTCTAATGTCTCTTTCAGATAAAACATATACGAGTTGGGCACATTGGTTTTGTGCAGTAATAATAGCACTGATATACGTATCAGTTGTATTTTAATATAACTTTTTCCACTAAATATGAACAACTATTTTGTGAAAACTTTACTAATCCGTAAAAAATCGTTTCATTATTTTCATGGAGATGACTTTGTGACAGCTTCAACGTTGGAACCTCATATGGCTGTATGCGTTCTTAAAAATAACTACGAATATTTTATTAAAAAAAATTCAATCGACCAATATTCGATCAAGGCACCAATTTAGTGTGCCACGATTGATTCAGATTTAATATAATTAAAAATATATATTTTATTTTATGTATCTAAAATTGGTTTAATATTCCCCAAAATGTGCAATAAAGCATTGCAAAAATAACTAAAACTATTAATATAACATATTTCACACACATTATTTTAGGGTTTCAGCGGGTAAAATCTATTAATCAATGTCTTAGAAGAATCGAATACGGTGTTTTCACTTTTTTTTCACCCTTACACTCTTTATTGGACATTGAGGAAATGATTTTTTTATTGATTGTTTCATATGTTTTGTACGCAATTCATTATTAAAATAATTCGTATACTTAATTATTCTATAGTAAGTTAAAAATATAATTTATATGACCAAACAGACTACAATATTTTTGTCTGTTATCAAATGTGTCTTTTCTGTATTAAAATATAGATCTATACCAATCATTTAAGACCTGTACAATTTTATTTCATTTTCGTTCGTTTATAGGCATATACGAGGTCTGTTCAGAAAATAACCGAACTTTATTTTTTAAACTTTATTATTAGGTAATCTTATGCATTATTGGTTCTTGTCTCCTTCAAAGTGCTCCCCTCTCTACTCACACACTTTTCCCAGCGGTGTTTCCATTTCGCGAAACAGTAACAGTTCTGATTAGTTTAATTTGAAATGGATTTTAAAGTCTGATGAATTTTCTTTGACATCATCAATAGTCTGAAAACGGCGTCCTTTGAGCACTGACTTTAATTTCGGAAATAAGAAAAAATCGGAAGAAGCCGAATTGATAAAGCTGAGTGTGCATTGTCATCGTGCAAGAACCATGAGTTGTCTCTTCACAACTCTGATCTTTTTTTGCGGATTTTTTCACCTTGAGACAAGAATTCAAAATACACAATTCCATTAAAGTAAAAAAAAAAACAGTGAGCATCACTTGAAATCGGGACTGACGTGCTTTCTTGGGACGTGGAGATCTTTTGCCAATCAATTGTGATGATTGAACTTTTGTCTCAATCTCGTAGGCGTAAACCCAGCCTTCATCTCCTGTTATGATCCTTTGAATGAATGTCCCATTGCCATTGGATTGTTCAAGAAATTGCCGACAAAAGTCCACACGATTTTCTTTCTGTTGTTCGGTTATTAAAAGAGGAACAAATTTTGCAGCAATTCGATGCATATTCAATTTTTCAGTCAACATTTCGGGGCATGATCCAGTTGAGGTGCTAACCTCTTTTGTAGTTTCTCTGACAGTCAATAGGCCATTTGCACGCACCTACTGAATGTGGGAGTCATCAGTTGAAGTCGAAGGCCTTCCTGGTCGAGGATCATCTTCAATGGGGAAGTTTCACATTTTTTTATTTTCTTATTAAATTCCNGTCTTAACACTCATATACCGGATCCTGACGTCACAAATTGCTTGACCAATTAGGGACCGTTTTCGCCCACCTAATTATATTCAATATTTTAATAATTAATTACATATTAATAGTTAAGTTTAAAGGGGTTTTACATATAGAAACATACTTTTATAGTAATTTTCTGCACTTTAAATAAATTTTGCTTCAAAAGAAAATTTGATGAAACTTCCTCATTGATCTAGAGCTTCATCTCCGTAAGACTTGTTTCAAAAGCTGAAACGTTTCCGTGAAAGTTTTCCCTAGTCTAATGAAAAATTTTACATTTCATCTTTGTTCCAAAAAATCGTCAATTCAAAAATCGTCACTAACACTTAAACATATTGCACCCAAAAACACAATATTACGAAAACTAAATGAGATCAATAATCCAAGAACATGTTGCTAACTGCATATCACTAAAATTGTCTCCAATAGCGCGTAATTCTAAATGTTCTGTGTTTTTCTGAACAGACCTCGTATATGCGTAGGTGGCATTATGTGTATAAGTAGTAGTAGGTACTATAAAACGGTATTATAATACTTACATATACATATACCTACCTATTATTACTGATTATCTAATATCTAATAACCATTTTTCAAAATGATCTGATATAAGAAACAGTAGGTAATTGCATGTAAAATTAAGGACCGTTTTCACTTTATAAATTGAGAGTGTACTCTTATTTGTTATCTACCCTAGATACTTGCATATATGCAGATATTAAATTTCTTAAATTTTTATCAGCATATTCGTAACTATTGATTTTTCGAAACTGCGAAAGTATTAGGTTGAGAACTTGTTTTCTTTATATATGAAAAATTAAAAAAGAAATTAAAACTAAAAGCGAGTTTATATTCTGGAGTTTTAGAGGTGTCCAAAATATATAATTTTTTAATTGCAATCTCAAACTAATTGAGTTTGCATCTCTTTTGCTTTCAAAAGCATTCTAGAAAATGTTGTATTTATCCAGTTATGCTTGCATATGCTTCAAGTTATGACTACAGTTATTTAGTCAGAAAATCAGTGCGTAGAAATACTACTAAATCTTAAAATCTCAATATTTGTTTTGCGATAGATATAGTCTGTAGGATATTTTTTGAGACAGAATTCCAAGAAGACCTCTGCGTCACTTTCTTGGAATTAACTGCATTCGAAACCCGAGATAGAAAGACATAAGCGGGAAATTTCAAGGCACGCCACTGCCGCAGTAAATTGTAAGTTGTTCCGATAAACTTGCAATTCTATCTCAACAAACATTGTATGGACTGCATCTACGTCATATTGGGAGTCAGTGCTTAATAAAACACAGCATATTTCTATTTTTGGCGACCTGATAATCTATCAGTGTTTATTAACTCTTTCACCTATAATAGGTTGAAACGCCATATAATATTCACCTCCCACATATTTTTGATTTGTAGTAATTTTAAGAGTGATTAGTTTTATCAATTATGGTTGTATTCATGTATGTGTAGGTTGATTCAAGATTACGATCGCTTCTGAATAAACACGTTGGTTTGCCAATAAACCAGATCCTTCGCCATATTATACGATTTTTGTATTTTTGGTGGTTTGTTATGGTCATCATTTTTTCCTATCATTATCTGTTATTACACATCAGAAATTTATATATTTTTTTCAATTTCCTACGAACCTCTATAGAACTCGAAAAAAAGGACACTAGCGTTTTCAGCTGGTTCAAATATAGTAGTTTGAAAGAGTAGTATGTAAAATTGGGCTACTTTAATATTTTGCTAATATTTTTTTGAACATTTTCGACGACTTCTGATATGAAAACTACTATTGCCAACCTAAGGCCAAATATTATATACACCCAATTTATTAAGGTCGATGTCCCTAGATCTAGACAGTAATTAAAGGCAGGCGATGGGCGATACTGCTTCAATTTCTGCATCACTCGTTCCCCCATACCGTAGTTTGATCCCGTGTTGGCCGCGTCGTTGCCATGACAACCACCGTAAACAACGCTACGAAGAGAAGCAGAATACAGATTGATTTCAATCTGCGTCACTTGCGTATGCTATACGTTGTATTGTCCGAGGTTGATGTTCACGCTCAACGAAGGCAATGTTTTTTTAGAAGGTGTTCACCCCGCAACTATTCTGTTTATTTCTGCGTATTAAACAAACAAACACAATACATTTTCAATATAGAATTATACCTAAATTATAAAATTTATATAAAATTAAAAATAATTTTAAATTGCACAACCAAACGAAAATTTTAGGTGAAGCGGTGCGTCACTTGCATCACCTAACGAGCCGCCACTGCAATTTCGCATTTGGATGTAGAACACTTATTATGAGATTTATTCCTTGAAAATTTCTTTATTTGTATGATCATTTCTTCAGGAAAAAATTTTAAAAATTCCCAGGCGAAGTCGATCCTCTTACATTTATTTCTAAAATCTGTTTTTGGCTAAAATTTGAGACAGAAGTAGGTACAAATTTACTTAAGTTGTGTTTTCTTTTCAAAAGTTAACATCATTAGAAGCCACAGGTATTTAAGTATTTCACATTTTGTTCTGGTCTTTATAGTCTTTTATTCGACTTAAAATTTTCAAAACTGAAGAGAACGTCCAGAACTAATATTTTGATCGTCGTGCATTTTGAGCGAGACTCAATGCAATTTTTTTAAATCTACATTTTAACTGTGAGCTTAGTTACTAATGTTAGTTTTTGGGAAACATAGGTAGGTATACCTTTTTTATTATGTAGGAGCAAATAGTTGCAAAAAGTAAGGAGGATTTGGAGATTATCCAATTTGATTGGATAATTCGTTTAAAAATAGCAGCCCCAAAAAGTGTTTAACTATGGCAAGAGTAGTAAGTAAGTTAAAGAATAAATTTCAAATAATTTTTTATTCCAATTTGCCTAAATCAAGTAGTGCCCAACGTTAGTTGTCCAAAGGGCTTTAACAGTACAAACACAAATCTAGAAAAAAAACTACAACAGATTTTCAGCCAATGCAGATCTAAAGGAGAAATTTATTTGTCAACTCTAGAGAAAAATTTTCTAAGTATTATTTGAATTCGAGTTCATGACTTCCCCAAATAGATTTGTGAGTATAAGTATCATGTATTGGCAGGCAAAGCGAGCTGCAAAGATTGTGGACCTTCTGGTTGACGTGACTTTGTTTTTTTTTCTAGCTTTGTAGGAACAATATGACAACTTTTATAAAAAATTACTAAACTGTGTTTGCTATATGAAATATAAAAATAGCC